GAGGTTTTACCAATGGGCCAGTATCCAGTCATGGGGAGAAGGACACCAATCTTTACTTCGGTTTGGTTGACATCGCCGAACACAAGGAAAACGCAGATCGCTCCTGCCAAGGCCGAGAAAAGGGTTCTCATTTTGGCGACACTATATTTGTCGCTATTTCTCACTCAAGTGATCAAACCGACTATTAAATCTATAYCTAAAAGCGAACCAATTTTTTTGATGTTCTTTGTTTGTTTGACGGAGAAATTAAGTAATTTGCCAAATTTGTTAATCATCTAAATGGTAGTTAAGGGCGTTGTCATGCAATTGACGTAGTATAGGAAAGTAATCGCTGTGATTGGCTGGCGCGCGGTCTGTTGTTTCTTTTCCGTGATATAAGACCCGGTATGGTATTGATCGGGTCTTGTAGTGAGTGGAAAMAGAGCTAAAACATTACGGAAATATAATTGCATATTACATCTGTAAACTGGGGAAGTCTTACGTGTTATAATAGTAGTTTTTTGTCACCGTGGGCCATCATATTCCAGTCAAAAATATGATTATCYTGTTAACAACAGCAGGCAAAGGGTCATACAAAGTTAGACTTTATTCACATTTGGAGGTAACAGTTCTAACAGCAAAGCCAATTACTTTACAATGTATTACTAGTATTTACTTGTTTGGAGAACACTCAAAAACCATTTCTTGGTGTGTTCTCAAACATCCCTATAATTTGTTTGTAATAAATATTAACTTAGAATTAAATACCACATTTAGGTAAGCTAAGATTTACCAGTTAATATTTCTCATTACAAAAGTCTAAACCTTATCCATGCAGATCGGGAGTCGGTTAAAAACTTCTGAAAAGCTTCACAAGACTACCAACGAAAACAGCAAARAGAAATACCAAAAACGTCGAATTTATCGCCTAAAAGAAATAGAGAGCCTTTTWTGGTATTAAGAACAATTATTGAATACAAATGTTTGCTTGTTTTCACTTTTATTTTGTTGTTGTTGTTTTGTAATTAATATGACTAATGTTTTTTGTTTTGTTTTGTTTTTTCGTTACTAGTTCCTTCGTTAAGTGGCTGTTTCCCAGGAAAGAGTAGCCTGTTTCTTTTCAGGTGGGTTGGCATTTGATCGGGTTTACAGTTTGCAATGAGGGATTATTCGAGAATCTAGAGTATTTGTTCGTTAGTTTGGTTGTTTTGCCGCATGTTAGGTTCCTTCAATATGTCCGTTAGTTGACTGAAAGTTTATAGTTGAGCTAGGGTGCTTGCCAGTTGTTTTGCAATGGTGATCATGTTTGCTTGTASTGCATTATTGTGTTCAATAATWGGTTGGTTTGTTTATTTGTAATAGACTATCATGCGGGATACCATACTAACCCTCTCTTGCCACTTGTTCCTTTCAATTACGATGTGATATGGAATTCTTGAAAATGTCACCTAAACACATTGATACAATATTATTTAACAAATAAATATGGCTCAGCCGTGGTTTATAATCTGATAAACGCACGCTTGGCATTTGAAACACACGAGAAAATGTCAAGAAGCACKAGCTGAAAGCGTTTTATTATATAGATTTTGAGCAAAAATCCATTTTGTTGCCTTTTTCAAAAATCGCTCACGCACAATCTTGGTTTATACTCTCATAAACCACACTTTTTTGGCCAGTCAGAGCGCGCGTTAGAAATCAYCTATATAATAAAATGTGATATGATTCTCTGCGACCTTCTCAAATGCAAGATTTGAGGTACATTACTGTCATGATTATGTAATCATTTACGATGCGCATGCGTATACGAAATGTGTGTGTGAAACGCGTGCGTAGAAAGCATGCAACATGTACCAGTACGCTTATATCTGAGTTATTAAAGCCTCTGGAATACTTTAACTCGTTATTATGACAATTACCATTGAATATAGCGGAATAATCGTATCAGGCATCAGCCAGTGAAGAAAGCTGTATAATTTTTTCTTGAGCAAAAAAACGTTCGAGTTTACAGAGGAACGCATCTGAAAAGAAAGAATTGAAAAAAAGCTTTTTTAGCAAAACGAGAAAAGAAGCAAGCACGCACACTAAAAACAGCAGCAAAACAAAAGCAGAAATGAAGAATTAACTAAGCAGATCATCGTAGGTATGTACTTTTGGACATTTGAATGTAATATATGATGAAATACTAAAAAGGTAGAAGCGATTTTTTGGACCAGATCACATGCTAATTAAACTATACCTCAATGTAGTTATACATCGCTAGGTCACACATTGCTTCAGCAGCTGGGTTCCTTACACGGGAATACTCAGCCAAAGCTGAACCTGAAGAATTGAAGGACATACTATAATCAAAGTCACTCTGATACATTCAAAGAGCCTTGTAATGTTAGGTAATGACTTACTTAAACAATTTCCATGTTTCTCTAAAATTGTGTCCAAGACAAGACAATCTTCAAAACCCTGCGGAGGAATGCAACATTTGTATTTTTTTGCTTTTACAATTAATGGCAAGTTCCTCATTTGAGAATATTATGGAGAGAAGTTTACAGTTGGATTGAATGGTTCAGTTAGCTGAGAGATGAATGGCAGTTTTCTGGGTTGTTTTTTTTTTTAAATCGATTAACTATGTTTTTTTTTGTAAGTACATGTTTTGACAATGGTGTACAATCCCTTGATCTTGGAAAACACAATCACAGAAGAGGGAAATCAGCTTTTGAATAGAAGCTGGGGAGATTTTAACAGTTTTCAAATGCTGGGATTTGTTTCAGCTGAAAATTGAGGAAGATTGGTACAAGTAGAAATTATGGAAATGCATGAAATAAAATGCCTCGGAATACATCACATCAATAAGCCACTGTGTTTGAGATATCATCCATAAAAAAATATCACTAAGATAGTATTTTGTTATCTTACACAATTCATTCCTTGACCATAGAATGGCACCATTGCATGGGCAGCATCACCAATGATAAGTGCTTTGTCTTTTATATGATATGGCTTGCACTTTAAAATGATAAACACAATTATAATTATTCAGAAGACAATATACATGTAAAAATGGTATTGACAACTGGAAAGTTCTTGATAAATCTGTGAAATTGCACTAACTTGCACTACTGTGTTATATGAATAGGAAATGTGCAGTGACACCATTTTGTGCAGCAAAGCACAGAGGTAGCCATCATGCTTATCATAGATATCATAAAACATCTCCTTAAAAGGTTTTTTATGTTTTTCCTTTTTTTTTCTTTGTAGAAACAGCAAACTACTTCTATCTTGGCTAAGAAAACGTAAAAACATTTAAGAAGGCCTGTTTTAGCAAAGGTTCCACCAATCATGCTTTTCTGCACTAAATGCCATCACTGCACATTGCCTATTTAGTAAATGGTAAAGGAACAGTGGTGATGCAAAGTTTATTTGCAGAACTAGTGCATTTGAGCATTTTTTATTATGAGGATACCTTTATAGAAACCATTGGACCAGTAGGATTTTTGAAGAATTCATCAATCAAAGTTTCTCTATTGGCAATAAAGATATTAAAAGTGAACATGATGAGAAAATATCATGAAAATCAATCATCTGATCACTATTCCATTTTTCAATAATATCTCATGTTAACTTTTTGGTAAGACTTTTTTTATCATATATATTTTCAACAAACTACAAAACCTACTCTCCCATAAGATCCACAAAATCTGGAAATTGCTTGTAGAAGAACTTCAAAACCTCTTCCTGGAAAAGATTACAAATCTTGCAGCACAAACATTTACCATATTACACAAAGTGACCATTAAAATTCTTCCCACCTTCTTGTTGAGCATGTCAAATTGCTCAAAAGGGGCAAAGAGTGTGCAGGTAAATGACTTGTCCTGTAAAAGAATTAAAACAACAACAACAACACAGAATCAAATACCTATTGTTGATAACAGCAACATTACAAACACAAGTCAAAGCAAGCCTTATTCTGCCAACTCTTAAAAGGGGATGGATGTCAACTCCTGCCAATTGTATATTATTATGTATTGTGTGTGTATTATGGGACGAATCACAATAAATAAAATAAAATAATTAGTATGAGAGTGATACAGTTGTCTGGAGGAAGGGAGAAAGAGAGTATAGGGAGTGTGAGGTTGTCTGGAGAAAGACAAAAGTCCAAACAGCGTTTACTCACTGGATTTGGCAGAGCAATCATCATAAAAGTGTTTCTTGGCCATATGTGCAGATAATGGGTTTCCATTCTATACTTGTCACCATCGGCTTCTAATCGTAATTCCTTATACCCATGAGGGATGTAAGTCTGACTGTAATCAAATCTGCAATCAAGAAAGGTAAAAGCTTGATGATCATAAAGATGCAAGAGATTTGCCTAACTTGAAATCATGCACAGGAACACCACAGGTGGCATGTTTATATTGTATTTTACAATATGAAGAATATAATGGGTGAAAAACACTGCAAATGCATAGATTTCAATTGCTTCAAGGGTTTGTGCTTATATAATACCTTGGACGTTTGCACATCTCTTTCCTCACAGCTGAATAAGCACCATCACATCCAACAATCAAGTCTGCATTAACCTCAACAGTTGTGTCATCACTTTAGGGATAGAAAATGTTGGTAAAATTTTGACCTTATATATCTATAGATTACAATTTAATAGAAAATTCAATGTGGATAATATATTGCAACATCTTACCAAATACAGGTAGCCTTAGCATTGTCCAAATCAATTTTGGTTAACTTATGGTCAAAGTGATGTTTTACATTGTCATAGCTTTCTGCAACTATAAAAATAAAATTGATAAAATGTGAAGTCATTAGTAATACAATATCAAAACTCAGATACAGAACTGTTATGCAATTCTATCACATGACCGGAAGTCAGGTGATCCCATGAGATAGCACAGCGCATACGCAAGTCATTGCACGTTTGCGTTTGACGCGAGTTGTTCTTACTTTTATTGCTCTTCAAGTTTACTATTATATTCACTGGGTTTTGGACTAATCTAACGTGGTTAGATTCTTCAAGAAGTCCAAATTGGAATCAACGTAGTTGATTGCCTTGTTGATACCAGAGTGGTACATAGCTGGACTTGTCTAACGTGGTTMGACTTGCAAGAGGTCCAGGGGTTTCAACGTGGTTGAACCCTTAAACAATTTTGATAGGTTCTAACGTAGTTAGATACCGAATACAGGACATGGGTGACGAATCTGGCAGAGGAGGCTCCGACACAGGAGCACCAGACGCGGGAGCCAATGACCCCAGCATCAATGGTATGTTTGCCGCGCTCTTGACGCAAATGACTACGATGAATCAAAACTTCGCTTCCTTCTGCTCAAGAGATACAGAGGACGAGAGCGACCATGATGAGGGCTCTAGTCAGGGCGATGCTCCTGAAGGTCCTGAAGAACTCGATGGAAGTGGCGATGCAGCAGACGAAGCACTTCAACAGCTCGTCAAAAATCAAGCGTCACCCAAGCCTGACGTTTTACAAGCCATTGCGGCTGATCTCAACGTAAATGAGAAAACTGATCCTGCTATAAATGATGGACTAGCAGATATCTTCAATACTTTGTTAAAGTCAAAAATGARCGAAGAAAAGCTCAAAGAAAAGCTTGAGAAATATGTCAAACCGGACAATGTCAAGCACCTACGGGTTCCAAAAGTGAACCCTCTTRTATGGAATCAACTCTCGTCTGGCACGAGGTCTCAGGATTCCAGAGCGCAGAGTTCGCAAGGAATTTTGTTAGGATCCGCTATAGCGTCTATCAAAGCGGCTGACGTGGTCATTAAAAAATATCCACATGATAGCGAACTCCTGAAATTGGTCACCGACAGCGTGGCCATGGCGTTACAACATAATCACGATGTTAACCAGTCGAGACGAATGGCRTTAAAGAAAGAGCTGCATAAGGACTATGTGTCCCTTTGTAATGTCAACCCTGCCGAGGAAGGGAATTCAGAATTTCTATTTGGTGATTTAACCAAAGCAACTAAAGACATTGCCGAAGCAAACAAGCTCACAAAGAAAGTTCGCCCTACTAMTAGCAGTGCGCGTAGTCATGGTGGTCACCGAAACTACTCCGGCRCCAAGGGAAACCGTCGTTTCCAGCCCTATGCCAGGTATAAAAGTGGTTCTTTTTTAGACCGCAGCCATCCCTCAAAGTTCAAAAAGAAAAAGGAGGGAACRARCAATMMACGCCAATAAAGGTATGCCCTAATGTCAACATTTGTTCTGATATCGAACATGACATTTTACCGCATTTGCTTGACCCCGCTCTGTTTAAAGCGGGCAGATTAAATGATTTCATTGATGAATGGTCTCAGATAACTAATGACACAACAATACTTAACATTGTGAAAGGAGTTGAAATTGAAATGATTGACATAAATGACATGATCCCTCAGCCGCACGCTCGACCGAGCGTGTTTAACAACAATGAACGTCTTATTGTTGAACAGGAAATTAATAAGTTAATTCAAAAGAATGTAATTATGGAAACAGTCAAAGAACCTGATGACTTTGTATCGACGATATTTTTGAGACCTAAGAAAGACGGAACGCATCGTATGATTCTTAATCTAAAACAGTTTAACCAACACGTTGTATATCGTCATTTTAAGATGGACACGCTAGAACATGCGGTRCAACTTATGAAACCTGGTTGTTTTATGGCGTCGGTAGACTTGAAAGACGCTTACTACACAGTGCCTATTTATAGCGCTCACCAAAAATTTCTTAAATTCTGGTTTGATGGCAAATTTTATAAATATACATGTCTACCTAATGGTTTGGCAAGCGCTCCGCGTTTATTCACTAAGCTACTAAAACCGGTTTACTCCGTCCWGCGAGGCAGGGGACATGTCAGTTCTGCGTACATTGATGACTCTTATTTGCAAGGTGACACTTACGTTGAATGCTATARCAATGTTATTGACACTGTGAAGATGCTTTCATCACTAGGGTTTTGCGTGCATCCTGATAAATCAGTGTTTCAACCCAAGCAACAATTAGTCTTTTTAGGATTTATTTTGGATTCAGTGGCTATGACAGTTACGCCCACTGACGAAAAGAAAGACAAAATCGTGTCTACTTGTTATTCAATACTGCACAACCATAGGCCTACTATAAAAGAGGTTGCTGGACTTATAGGAACATTAGTCTCGAATTTTCCGGGTGTTGAATTTGGGCCCTTACACTACCGATGTCTTGAAAGAGATAAATACCACGCACTTGTGTTAGCGAGAGGTCACTATGACAGCAGTATGAAATTATCAAATGAWGCAATTRCAGAAATTCAATGGTGGTTAGAAAATGCGCAKCACTCAAAACGAGACATTGTGCGAAATAACCCGGATATAATACTAAAATCCGATGCTTCAAATCTAGGCTGGGGTGCTGTCTTCGAGGAAAAAAGAGTCGGGGGGCGATGGATGCCTTCCGAAGCTAAGTTRCATATCAACGTATTGGAACTTAAAGCGGCTTTCTTTGCGTTGAAATGTTTTTGCTCAAATTTGAAAAACCAACATGTGCGCGTTTTTATTGATAACACCACAGCAGTTTCYTATATTAACAATATGGGAGGATCTAAATCCCCTCTTCTTAACTCTCTGGCAACCAAAGTGTGGCAATGGTGTATTGTTCGGAATTTGTGGATTTCGGCTGTACATATCGCAGGAAAGCTTAATGTTGAAGCCGATGAAAAATCACGTAAATTCAATGATAGGCATGAGTGGCGACTTAAGGAACAATGCTTTAACGAGATCATGGAATCATACCCGTCACTTAACATTGACATGTTTGCTAGCCGGCTTAACAATATGCTCGATACATACTGTGCATGGAAGCCTGATCCTGGCTGCACTCATGTAGATGCTTTTTCAATCAATTGGAATGAATATGAATTTTRTGCGTTTCCTCCATTTAGCYTAATTMACARGTGCCTGAACAAGATAACACGAGAACAAGCCCGGGGAATATTAGTGGTCCCACTATGGCCGAGCCAGACGTGGTTTCCCAGATTACTACAACTTCTTTACCAAGCACCGTGGATATACAGACCTCGAGAAGATCTAYTGACGCATCCGTCCCACAGCGACCCCCATCCTCTGTGGCAGAAGCTTCGAYTGATGATATGTCCGTTATCAGGSAACGATACCGACAGCTACAGTTTCCAGCAGAAATTACCGATGTACTCATGGCCTCTTGGAGACCAGCGACTCACAAGCARTACAATACGTACCTCAAAAGATGGTTGGCGTTTTGTCGTCAAAGACAGATTAATTACTGTTCACCAACGATAAGTGAGACGCTGGAATTYCTGTTACAGCTCTATAAAGAGGGTCTAAGCTACTCAACGCTAAATACTGCACGGTCTGCTTTATCCAYAGTACTTTATATAGAGGACTTTGGTTCGAACCCTGTGGTTACCAGGTTTATGAAAGGAATTTTTGAATTACGGAAGCCTACCCCTAGATACACTACTATATGGGATGTTTCAGTTGTCTTGAATAATTTATCGGGTTTCTACCCTAATGAATCACTCAACCTTAGAGATTTAACACATAAATTAGTTATGTTATTGCTACTTATATCAAGCCAAAGAGGACAAACGATTCACTTGCTCGACATCAATGGTCTTGTTGTTTCAGATGAGAAGCATGTATTTCATTTACTTGAACATACTAAAACTAGTAAASCGGGTAAAGCTAATCAGAAACTAGAGGTTAGTGCTTATGATACTAATCTAGCTATTTGCCCAYTAACATGTCTTAAAGAGTACATTAAGAAAACCAAGGTTTTAAGAGGAAAAGAAACAAGATTGTTTATTAGTTATGTTAAACCGTTCAAGGCAGTTTCTAGAGACACTATTTCTAGATGGACTAAGACTGTGYTAGATAGAAGTGGAATTGATACCACTGTATACAAACCCCATAGTACTAGGGCAGCATCGTCTTCGAAGGCATGCAGGAACAATGTCCCACTAGATCAAATTATGGCTAACGCTGGGTGGAAGTCTGCTCAAACATTTTATAAGTTTTATAATAAGCCAGTGGAATCTACTGCTAGTGTATCAGATGTTGTTTTAGGTCTTACATGATTTATATATATTTACTAATATTTGTTCCTGTTGGTATACAATCTTTACAATAAACACTACGTGTTTATGGAACATTGTATTGTTTTATTTGTTGTATTAGCAGCTTTAAAGTCTCATGGGATCACCTGACTTCCGGTCATGTGATAGAATTGGAAAATTAAACGAGACTTACCTGTAAGTTGAAGTTTGATTGAGATTCTATCACATGACAACGGAAGGAAGGTGATCACATGCCCTCCTCTCCCTTACCCTGTTTTGTTTGTGTCTGGGTTTTTTATACTAATACAACAAATGGTGTTTTAAAGAATGACTTGCGTATGCGCTGTGCTATCTCATGTGATCACCTTCCTTCCGTTGTCATGTGATAGAATCTCAATCAAACTTCAACTTACAGGTAAGTCTCGTTTAATTTTCCAATTAATATATACCTTCTAACAGATGTTCATTCATCTTACGTCTCTCAACAGATAATATACACTAAAAGGGATATAATATATCATGTAGGGATACATGTATAACATATTATTACTTTATCATTAATTTGTATAAATAGAAAATAAAAGAATCTACACTTAAATAAGAGTGATGCAGCATGAAATGTTTAAAGGATGTAACATCAACTACAAGTATTCACAAAACCTAATGACAAAAAGTCTAGTGCAGGTGCATGTATTGCTGGAGTTATCAACAGATACTTACTTGGTCCTTCTTTCCGTATGGTATTGCATACTTGTTGCCATTACGATCATGTATCATTCTTGCATACATTGGAATGCCACTTTCAACCATCTATACATGAAAAGAGGCAACAATTCTTCCATCAACATTTTGCACTACATTGAAGAAATGTGCAAATTTCAGAGTTTAATTTGCAGCCAATGTTTATTAGTTATTTCATCTACAATCTGAGATAAAAGACATGCACAACATATAATTCATTGAGAAATCCTGATTGAATAAACTACTAAATAAATATAATTATCAATTTGTTTGAACAATAATTAACAGGTTCGTAATAATTCTTACAGGAACATGGGCACTGGCGCCTTTGAGAGCTTCAATTCCCCTTACAGATAAAGCCAGATTGATGCTTCTACCTTGTACAAATTCTTGCTTGCGAGGATCTTAAAACAAGATTTCAGAGTGAATCAAGGTACCACAGATACTACATAATGAAAATATTGACTTTATATCATTAAAATACTTTAACATTGCATCTTTAATGTGTCATTGAGATTAATGAATCAACATACTCTAAAAATGTTTTTTTTTTTATCTTGACAAATAAAAACACACCTTTACGAGATTCATACAAATCAACTTGAAAACCCYGCTTTGCAAAGTAGATAGCATTTAGTGATCCAACCTACAACAGATTAACATAAATGAAATCAAAAACATTTTATTAAGCAGGTAAATTATTTTTTGCCCTGGTAGCAGACATCTTGGGATCCCTGTGGACAAGTATAGAGGATTTTTTCATTGTGCATTATTTTTAAGAGTTTGTTAATAGTGTGCTCAATTTTATTGTTCCTACTAGTTCATGTGCAGTGAATGCAAGTACAGAGGTGTGAAGAGGGTTTCGTGATGAGTCAAGGGTGGATCCAGCTAAACATTTAAGGGGGAGGGGGCTAAATGGTTTTTAAGGGGTGGCTAAATGGGGTCTATTTGTTATAAACAACATTGAAATTAATAAAAACGTTTATCTTTTATGCTCCTCCCTGGACGCACCCTTGTGAGTGCCCAAACAGAAAACTTGTTAACAAAATAGCCTGCATGCAACCGAACCAAAACTGTTACGTGTTCGTTGAACATAAAAACTGTATTGGGTTACTTTTTAGAATACCTGGTCATTTTATGAATATCATAAAATCTATTGAATTCTGTGTTGTTCTTAAACAACTGCTATGCAAATTTCTATTGTGCCCACAGTGATTGGGTATTTTAAAGTCGCTCCAAGTTCGGCTGCATGCAGACTACAACAAAATAAAAAAAAATATTTCAAAAGTATGTCTATCTAGAGCATTTTTGGTATTACCATGACAGGAAAAGTAAAATCAGATTACATATGATTAACAGCTCATCAAAGAGGGATGAACGATGACGTAACAGCATGAGACGGTAAATACTATAAACCGCTGTATATCAAGTTCAAACATGCTGACATATCAAACAGCATGATTATTTGGAAAACTTTTCGTTCAGAGGAGTCAAATCTGATGATTATATACTACTCTTTAATGAGCATGTATCAAGTATAAGTGATGCGTAAACCATCATGCATGTGTGAGGTGCGATCAAAACTTTTATGCAAGCTTCGCTTACCAGCCCGCCACCAATGATTGCAACTCTTTTCGGTTTTTCATGTGAAACAGCGGCCATAATGTCTAGATATTGGTATTAATTTTTTCACTTGTTTTTAGAATAGTCAAACCTGCTGTAACCTCACGAGTTACGTTTTTTACACGAGCTGCTAAAGCAGTTTCCAGCAGGCGTTCCACAAATTATAGAAAGAAAACTAGGTCGAGGCAAAAAATGTAAATATATTCCAAATATGGTATTGTTTTTACGCTCCATTCTTCAAGTGTAGTTGGGTTGCCACGTGGTTAAAAACATGGCTGACGTTGCGAGGCAGTTTCAAGTTCGGCAATTTTTTTCTCTTCTGAAACTTCCTACACTTATATTCCATATGATTGTGGAATATCTTAGTCCAAAAGAAAAAGGTGTACTTTCCCGAGTCAGCAAGATTATTAGAGAACTTCTAAACTCGAATGTTAAAACTTGGAAAGATGTTGATTTTGTCATTTCTCCAACAAGACTCAACCAGTGCTGTTACATTGTCGCGCTTCTTCATCAAAGAAAGGCAACTTCATTGACGTTTCGTAATATCAGTGGTGAGAAAATCCAGGAAAATATACTGAAAGCATTTCCAAATCTTATATCGCTATCAATTCCAATGTCCAACACTTCTACTCCAAAACTTATTGAAAACTATTGCAAAAAATTAAAAAAGTTACGTCTTTGGAACCTCACGAGCTCGTTTTTCCAACGAGAGATGCCGTTGAGATTTGGAGATGTTATTCGACGAATGGTTCATTTGGAGATTTTGAGTCTAGAAGGAGATGAACTTGATGTAAGTAAGATAAAATGTAACCATAGTAACCATGGGGTGTATTCAGGATTTTTCATGATAATTTGGGGAGGGGTAACAAAATATTTTTCATTAAACATCACACTATAACTTCAATAAAATGTCTAAGAAGCAACTATTAAAGAATAGTGGCCGTAAAGTGTTCTTATTCAAAAGAGACATGAATGGCACCCAGTCTCTACGTGTCACAGTGGCCATCTAGTAGGAACCTCAACAAAGGTATTCACTGTACATTCCTCCAAACATGGCCACTTTTATCTTTTGAATCTCACATTAATGATTGAAAATTATCAATATGGGTTATTGTCAGATGGGCACATAATAGGATGACATTAAAGTGCTACTTGCATGAAAATGGCCTTATTTCAAAACTTCAAGCAATACAAATATATGACTCATTTATATCTATTAAAAACAATTGCGGGAAAATATTTGTCTTGGCATTATCCCACATCAGAGAAATTTTGTTTCAAAAGATGGAAGAACAAAAGGATTGAGTAGATGACGTCATCTACTCCAACATTTTTTGCCCAAATTATTAAGGATTTGCATGAATATCTTCTTGAAATCTGTTGCTTCATGATTATTACACCCATATGGATAGGTCTATTTGATTTCCAAGTCTTTTCTAATGTTTCGCAATTTTCGTCCAAGTAGCCCTTTAATGCATTGAAAATACAGGTATTTAGACTGTAGTAATAAACAATGACTTTATGCACATTCTATTTTAGAGTGATCGATTTCCTGAATACACCAATGAAATCAAAAAAGGCATAGTTTGCCATACTTCATTGACAAAATTAGAGTTTCACTTTGATGTAATGGAATTACCATGGATTGTGGAAATATGCTGCTTTAACCCAAAGCTAAGGTCTCTCAAGGTACATTCTGCAAACAAGATGAAAGGAAGACGTCTCCCATTGAAATACTACAGAGATGGTGAGAACTCCTGGGGGGGAGGGACTCCCTTATAAAATAGGGGTGGGGTCCTCGTTGGAAATTCTGAAATTGACACCCTAAAAGGGACCTGTATTGTGAGATGATGGGCGTGGCAGTGCTGAAATTTCACCCCTAAGAGGAACTAATCAATAAACTGTTATTTTGTTTTGGTTCCCCGACATTTTCATAGAGTCTTCATATACCCTAAAAGTGACAACAAAACTCAGTTGATAGGAGTTCTCTTCATTATTACCGTAGCGGGACCATAGCACTGATTTCAACCCTAAAAGGGACAATGAGGACCCCTGCCCTTTTTTATTAGGGAGTCCCCATCGGGTGAGAACTCTATGCAATTCTAAAATCATTTTAGCACTGAATCATTTCTTATTGTCTATTATGGTGTAAAGTTTAATCTCTTGTTTGTTTGTTAGTTTGTACTTGGCTTGAAGACTTTGCCTTAGAAGAAGTGAATTTACAAGGACTTTTGTTGCCTAAAGACCACCTTAAATGCATCATTGACTCAGTTGACAAATGCCAAAGTCTGGTTTCATTAGACCTTAGCTACTGTAGACATGAAATTCTTTTGAGAATGATTCTAGAACATTTATACAAACTGCCTGAATTGAAGCATCTAAACCTAACCAAGTGTGCCATCAAGGATGATATGTTTTTGGCCAATCATCCTAAACTTTACAACCTTGAGTTAAAAAGTACTGCCATAAAGTTCATTGGAATACAGAGAATTGCATCCATAATGTCGTCATCCTTGAAGTACTTGGGACTTGCTAACTGTTATTATATCCAAACAGCTGATATTAAACAATTGCCATCACTATTTATTTCATTAGATACTATGGATCTAAGTGGCTGTGATAGTCTGGATAATGACGTTCTCAGAGGCTGGTACTTACAGCCAGCCAAACCAAAGCTTTGTCCTAGAAAAATTGTTGCCAAAGGTTGCATGAATATTGACACAGAAATGATAAAAAAAGTCAGAGAGAAATTGAAAAATAAGCTTTTCATTTTAACTTAACTATTTACTGCTATCTTCATTCAATTTGGGGAAACATTTTCATCTAGTGGTTAAGACATTGAGCTTGACTGGATTTGATTCCCTGACTCGGACAATCGCGCTGTGTCAAATAATGCTTCTTTGGAGATCTAAAGGATTGTTGATAGATATCTTATACTGATCCATTGACTATTATCAAAATGTTAAGAAGCATCTTTGGCAAGTTATTATTCTTAGCCGTTCTTCCGACCTTCTGTTGCGCAAAACGTGAAGATAAAAAAGTGAGTCTCCATTGTTACTTGATACAAGTGTTAATTCACCCATACTCCCTTTCGGTTTAGTCACTTAGGTGTTAAAGCCGATAAGCGAAAAAGAAGATTGTACATTATGCTTATAATGCAAGTTAGTTGACAAAAAAGGCGATGTTAAACGTTCATAAATATGTTATGAATGCTTTCCTAACCCAAACACATTACATGATGAAAATCGTTCGTCTGCACTGCATGTCGCAGTCTAAAAACAGTTATTTCCTTCTAGTCTTTATCACGTTTTATTATACTTCGCATAGTAATTTCAAGTTTTTAATGTTCGCTTTTTTTACTCAGACTTAAATTACTGTTGATTTTGCTAGTTTAAACATCTTTGAGCGCGTTTTATGCGCAAAGATGAGCCAGTAAGCTGTGTTTAATCTTGGTGCCGAGTACGACTGTCATATTCCTGTCGAAATAATAGAACATTTAATTTACGATGTTTGCCAACTTTGGATGGTTTCATTTGTCTCTGGCTAATTAAAAACAAAATTGTTTTCTAATCACGTGAACCTATTTGGATTAAATAAGCATTTCAACTTATCGTTAGAGAAAACGTCTTATTTGGCGTCTTTCCTCTTCCTACGTTTTGATGATGGTATCATGAAGTACTGTTTATTTTTTATCAAAATTTTTCCGAATGTTTTATTTGTTCTATTCTATCGTACTTTATTTATAAATATTGATCCTTTTTTAACGTCATAAAAGATAATATGTTGTCCCGAGACTGTTATAGAAAATTAACGTTTTAAATTATTTATTTCTGTCTTTCTCGGGAAATATCATCTCAGATGAAGTTAATGGTCAGTTTTACACATTAAAGAAAGCGATACTTTATTACTTTATAGGATTACGAAGGCTTAACGTCCGACAATCTTCAAACAAGTATTGTTTTCTTCATGTTGAGATTGACTCTTTCACTAAAATTAACAAAATCACCGGATCCCGTTTACTCCCAGTTGCTATTACTTTTTCCTTTTTTTCGATGAGAGTTTTTAATTTTGCTGCTTTAATGGCTGGCAACACCAACTGTGTTCTTAACTAAGGACTTGGCAGATGGTGAAATAACTCGGGTATTAGACGCATTTATCAAGGAGTAACTTTCCAAGTAAACACATTATATTACACTGCTTATTCTCGACCAATAGGAGCACAAATGGCTTATATGTTACCATGGAGAATTGCCAAAGTAGATGTAATATCCGACAAGTCCTGGTCCTTGCTTTTTCTAATTTTTTCTTTAATTTTGACCGGAAAACAGATGAATAGCATTGATAACATGGACCATACAGTAATAATTGCAAAAAGAATAAACTTTTCAAGATGACATAATTTGCTTACACAAATTCATTGTTGTGAGGGGAGTGTTTTGTTTGTGGGAACGTGCAGTCGCGCTTATGAAGCGATAAAAGGAAGTCAAAAGAAAGCTCTCGGATGCAGACTGTTTAACTTGTTTTAATTTGAGAACAGAATTCTATATTTTAAACACAAATTGATTTGGCATTGACATTAATTCAGATATTATGCAACTTCAAAGACAGTCTTCTTACAAAATGCTTCTCTGCAAATTCCTGCTTTCTCTTGACGTGTTCAACAGTTTCACTTCATCAGAAAGACAACGCGATGATGCGTCGACGCCTCCGGCTCCGTCGACCGGGAAAATCGGTAAATACTAATCTTTTTGTCTACAATAATTGGATATTACTGCTGCTAGCATCGAAGGTGTGAAAACATTATTTCTAAAGATTATTGCTCAGTTTGCGGTCATCTAGCTCGGTTGATGAAATCTTGAAACGAAAAAAAGGACATTTCTTCCGGCTTGAACTTTATTGAAAAACATTTTTAACTGATTTATAATTTCATTTTTTACTAGCAAGCAAATAAGGTAGAATTATTACAGGAATATATTATTACAAAATATTATTAGGATTATATATATGGAAACTGTTGAAGTGAAAACCTGCCAGCAACTCTCTGAGGGTTTTTTCAGTGTGAGCAGTAAAAAGAAGATTTCTTATCAAAATTGCCGTTTGCATCAAGCATCTATTCTAACTGTTTCGTGTATATTTTCAGTGTATGGAACTTGGACAAAGTGGGCTGAAGCATGCATTAGTAACTGTGGTCTTGGAACAAGAATTTCGAGTCGAACATGTAAAATAAGTTCATCTCAAGGAAGTGGTAACATTTGTAGTGGACCCACTCAAAAAGAAGGAACTTGCTATGTTAACATGTGTAAAAGTAAGCCAGTTATTCAGTCTTGTTCAGTTTTATAGACATTTTTATAGACAGTTTTATAGCCTTTTTATCTCTTTCTGATGCTTTTTTTGCTTCTTTTCTATTTGAACATGCAAATACAGCCGATCTTAAAAAGTTTGTACACCAAAAAAGACATTTCCAGTGTTCCCATTGTMACGTGTCTTAATAATATCTCTGCACGTGGAAAATTCCTTGTCTTTCTCTTTTAAAGCACACCTGATATTCTAGACCATTTTATACGAACATAAAGTAAATATGTCTAAGTCCCATAGCAATTGCTACACTGGAAATGTAATATTTCCACTTTATTGCAGAGGATTGAACGTAATTGAATAATTACTCCTTGCGTAGGAATTACCAATGGCTTTGTATCGAAACGAGAAAATTGCTTGAAAAAGGTTCAAAAAGGCATCTAAGTATATACTAATAGCCCTCTCAATATTTATGTTACCCATGTACGTAGTTTTTCGGTCTCAACTGCTATGGTACTTGGGACGCGCAAACGATTATTCAAGATGTTTAACTGAAGGCTTCGTCTGGCCTCGATTAGATGCAAAGGCAGTATTTTCAAGATGATCCAGGGAACAACTAGGCTCATTATAATACGAACTCGTGCGACCAATTACGGCAGAAAACTGATATTGATAATTAACAGTAAAGCAAATTTTCTAAGGCTTCTCTGAACCAGGTCTTTATTTAGAACCCCAAATTGAGAATTGTACATAATTTTAGCAGTTTTTTTCAGTCGATTTATTTGTGTTTCATATCACCGACTCATGTGTAAATTACAATCTTTTATGTTATTATTAGATGACACTGCGGTTATACACCCATTTGAAGGAATTGGGTGCTACAAAGGCAGAAATGACAACAATAACCGACTGCTACCTGTTGTAGCAACTAATTTTCGTGATGGAATATTATGGGAAGAATACAACGATTCACTGACAGCAGTTGTTTACCGGTGTGCACTTGATGTCCAACTTCACTATAAGTATGTACTAATCGATCACGGAGGCTTTCTACTGTGGAACAATAGAATAGACCTTTTCACGGTTATCACGGTTAAAATCAAAGCGGGCAAGAGTGACAAGTAATATCAAAATTATTACTTTTTTCATCATCAAAAATTATTTAACAGATATAAAAAAGTGACAAAATTCAAAACTTTTCCGGATAGGGGGTAAAAGCGAAAAATAGGTTGGTGCTATAAAGAAATTAATCGCCGGCACACTTTTTAGCCACCAGTGGCTTCAAAAATGAGTATTTAAATAAATTGCCCTTTTAATGGCGAATTCATTTTGTAATAATATAATAATCATTATATTATTCTTTAGAGAATTCCAGTATTTTGGCATAGAATTTTACGGTGAATGCTATACCAGCAACGCAACTTTACTATCGCTACCAGAAGACAAAAAGACCGACTGTTTTAAATCAAAGCCAAACGTGTTTGTTGGACGTGATAAAACTATTTTTGTGTATAAGTTCAGTCCAGGTATAGTATTTTATTTAGTATTGAAAGGTTGTACATGTGTCTTCCTGTCTCATCGTCGGTTGTGAGCGGTCAGTGACGAAACTGATCTTCTTCGTCTTGACTTGTTGAGTTCATATTCTTTTTTTCTCATATAAAAATACCTATGTTTTTTTACGTTTGAGAACTGCTAGTTAACACAATGGTCGTATGCAATACGCGTCATGTCTGCTATATTTCTCCTTGGCCTTTATGAGAAGTGTTTCAGTGTTGTTTAGTTTGCCTACCTGCTTTCATTGTCTAGTTAATACTGGGTCACCTTTTGTGCAAAAGAGGCTCTCGTTGTTAGTTCTTTCATGATTTTCAATAATGGTTTTGGGTGTCAGTTTGTTTGCGTTTTTGCATGTTTTTGCTTGCTTGCTTATTTTCTTGTCTTATCTTGTCTTCATATTAGTCAATGGTACTTGGGGGGAGTGGGGTCAGTGGAATTTGTGCAGCAAGACATGTGGAGCTGGCTTTAAAAAACGTACTCGTCAATGCAACAAACCAGCACCACGTTGGGGAGGATTAGACTGTCAAGGCTCGAGTACTAACAGAACAGCGTGTAATACCATCGATTGCCCAGGTACTGTTAAATTAGTAATAATCGGTCACTGGTCAAAATCGCGCACTAAAGGTTGTAAATTTGATGTAAATATTATGTAAGTGTCAGTCCAAAATGATGCACATTTGATGTAAATCGTTTACAACCTTTAAAGTGCGCGATTTTTTCCAGTGAGTTTACTAGAAGTTTAATCTTCAATATAGTTCGTATATCAGGAAATTCACTGAGTTTAATTTCCTCTGGTGTGACTTGGGCTCTTCTTCTGCTTTTCTTTATGGTGCACATTTTCAAAAACAAGATCAATAAAAGCAAATTCACGTAACAACATTTGTGTACCATTGTATAGTGATCGCCAATTGGAGTGAATGGCAATTATGGGGTTCGTGTAATAAGCACTGTGGACTGGGAACCAGAACAAGGCATCGCACATGTAGCACAACAAAGAAACCATGTGATGGACACGCCCATGAAACAGTTGAGTGCTACCTTGAAATGTGTAAAGGTAAAAAAACATAAGCAAAGAAGCGCTAAGAAGTCAATTGATTGACTTTTCTTCTATCTTGTCATAGAACAATCTTCAAAAATATTTCCGTTTCAAGGAATTGGGTGTTTTAGCACAAATCCCAAACAATTATTAGCGAAGCTGATATCGGCAAAGTTCCGTGACAACCTCGTGTGGCACTCGGGTGATTCTGTGGCAGCTCCTGTGCTAAGATGCGCTGCGTCCATACAGAATAATCATAGGTATTGTCTCTCGTTTTACTCATTCTCCTAAAGATCTCCGTAGCCTTTAGGATTCCTGTTGTGAAAGTGAGACAATTGAGGTTAAGATGAAATCCCCAAGCAAAGGTGTGTTCGGTATACATAAATCACAAACGTATGAGCAACCACAACGTAATATTTGCGGTATTCATTCAGTTTATGTCAGCTTGCAGAAACACAGCGTGCTACCTAAAGTATACATGCAACGTTGAAGGAAACCGAATATCCTCGCGCAAGCTTCGAGCAATAGTACAAATTAGAGCTTGGTTTGTTGGGAACTCATTAAAAGCTCCTGACATTTCCAAATGTAAAGAATAGGAGTAATTATTTCCGCGTGAGACTGTCATTCTTTCTTCTACAGTCAGTATCAGCATTTTGGCATCGAGTATTACGGGGAATGCTGGACAGGCAATGTAACGGAGGAATTACTGGAAAATAATCAAATTGAAATTGATCGCTGCTACAAAGTGAATTCGAAAGTATACGTGGGAAAGGCAGATACCATGTATATCTACAAATTTAATCCAGGTAACCAGTCTCATTCGCAGCCTCTACTTTCAGCGTCGCCCGCTTCCTGTGTAAGGACGTAAAACCAGACAAAAGTTGAGGTTGCGAAGGAGACTAGATTGAAGACCGTATACACCCTTTTAATAAGTCCCGATGTATTGTTTTTTCTCCGCACTTGACGTCAAATATATTCTTTTGAAATTTTTGCAATACAAAAGGAATTCAAAAGAATAAATTTGACGTCAAGTGCGGAGAACGTAATACTTCGGGACTTATTAAAAGGGTGTATAAGAGAATAAATGTACTGCCCTTTCCCTAATAAAGAAATAAAGTCCGAAATGTCACTTAATCAAGCTTTAAATTTCAAATATCAATGATGTATAGTGCTATCATTGTCATTTACCGAGTTTTCAAGTGAATCTGTAACCAGACACACTAATTGTTTTGGGCTACCTGTGCTGTAGTGAATGGAATTTGGTCTCCATGGCAATCTTGGAGCAATTGCAGTGTATCATGTGGCGAGGGAACTAGGCTGCGAATGCGAAGCTGCACCAGTCCACCTCCTCTATGGGGAGGCAATTACTGCAACAATACCAACATCTCTGTTGCGGTCTGTGCGGAAATGACGTGCCAAGGTAGAATTCACAAACTTTACGTTAACATTTTTTTTCACAATTTTCAATAAGAATATAAAAAATAAAACATGAAATAATTAGACAATTATCGTCCCAAAAAAATCCTTAACGAAGTGTACCTTGTTGGCGCGTGTTATGATAGAATCAATCTGTTTGTGGTAGTAGTTGTTGTTGTTTGGTTAATCGGCTTGTTTGTTTGTTTGTTTGTTTTTTTTTTGCGTAGAGATGCGCACGATATGAATTAATTGATGCGAAAATGTTGAAGATGAAGTTCTATGTGTCCAAGAACCGGCTGGCATTATAATATTCATAAAATAAGGATACTTTATTATTGGATTGTTTATTCAGGAATCAAGTCATTCATGACAAAAGAAGCGATTGGTGTTTCTTCTGGATGTACCCTTCTACTGTTAATAGCAATTATAGCAGCTGTTTTGATTTTAAGAAGGCGCAAAATGCTACAGTAAGTATGTGAAGACGTTTATTTTAAACACCGTTGGGCAGTAAAACACAGCACAATGATATCCGGGATAGGCCTTTTCTGAAATAGCATTACGCATTGCATTAAGGTCTAGATTCGGTACAAACATCTAATGTTCATGCAGCCAAATATGGTGTTGTTTGTACTGTATCTAGACCACAATGCACTATGATTTTGTATTTCAGAAAAGGTCTATAGTCGCGCAGACGACGGCGTGCACCACAGCACAAAGCACTGCAACTCAAAGCAAAACAATATATCTTAGCTCTTGACAGAATGCAGCTCTGACCTGAATCTCTTCTATATTTGGCATTAGGACACTTTTTGATATAACTGATTTTAATTGTGGATTGGGATTGCGTTGCATGACTGATCAAAAAATGATTTCATGTTGTGTTGGTAGGAAATCTATGATGGATATATCTGACCAATGGGAAATCAAAGGAGAACAAATCGAGTTGCTAGAGGTACTCGGACAAGGAGAGTTTGGAATGGTTTATAAAGGAATATTTACTCCAATTTCAAATAAAAAGCATTTGAAGAAACGAGGAAAGAGCGTTCTAAGGAAAACTTTTCGAAGAAAAGTTGGAGATAAACCTAAGAAGATTGTGGCAGTCAAGCTTTTACATGGTAAAGTGCATTCAAAACACTTTATCTCACACAACCTAATTTTTTATATGACGGTTTATAGTCTTCTATTCTTATGACGTCATGCTCATTTCGCGAAGTGCATCATGGTACTTCTACTTTTTGTAAAATCAGAAAGAGAGGGAAGTTTCTGTGTAAAAATAACATTATTCGCTGTCGAAGTCGATAATCAATAACAACATTTGATATGTCATCGTCATCAATCCTATTACGCCGGGTGGCATGTAGGGCCACTACTATGAATTTCCACCTCTCCCTATCCTTTGCTAGATGTTGTAGCTCCTCCATAGACTTTCCAACTTCTTTTGCCTCCCTTAAAATATTCCTTCTCCATGTCTCTTTAGGTCTCCCTCTTCGTCTTTTCCCACTATCAGTGGTCCATGTTGTTGAAACTCTGGTGATGCCATTTAGGTGTTTTCTTGAATCATGCCCTAACCACTTCCACCTGCGACTCTTGATTATAAGTAGAGCTAGCAATATCGTATCCAGAGTCAGTAATTGATTGCTAACAATTATTTCAAAAATGATTTTAGAGTCAGCCAATGAGGATCAAAGGAAGGAGTTTATGGATGAAATCAAATTAATGAAGGAAATAGGAGTCCATATTAACATCGTCAACATGCTTGGATGTCGTACAATCAGTGAGCCACTGTACCTTGTGGTAGAGCTGGTACCTTATGGAGATCTTCTTAATTTCTTGAGGAACAGACGCGAACAGGTATTGATTGAATGGTGCTATTAATAAGAAAGACTTATTTCTTCCAAAATCGCGGACATCGGTATACTTTAACTGGTTAATGTGTAACATACATGATATGATACAACGCATCAGCATTTTATCTGACGTCAAGATGTATGCAACATTAGACGGAGTGATTGGCGATCGATCATATTTGCTTCGCGCCTGACCCATTTTCATAATTTTCAGCTTTTGAAGCTTTTGAAGGAATGTAAGACGTCGATATACAGCGCGTACTACGATAACATGGACGGAAGAAAATACAGAAGAATGAGCGATGAGGTACAAACAGACGTATGTTAACACAACTACATAAACCACTGTCACACCTGGAGGTCTGGGTACTAGTCTCGTGATTAGGCCTGGCACCTTGAAAATACTAAGAAATACCCATTCAAATTGACCTATTTCATTATAACGTCACATCAAAACATTCTATTGTTTTAACGCTAAGGGTTATGGTCGACGGAGGGGATCAGAGTGATCATATAAAATGCACATGAGCAATCTTTGATACTTGGGAGGGAATGTAAATGGGTCAAAGTTACCACTGTTTTTGAGCGTCTTTTCCTGATGTAAACATACTGTGACGTCATAATGAAACAGGGCAATGAATAAAATGTTTAGACGTCGAGTATGAATCAAAAGCAAATGATTTAGAGAAATCCAAATAGGACCTAATCCAGAAAGAAGTCGCTGTCATGGACTGCAGGAATTATTTGCCTTCTTTTACTAACACTGAACTTCAAGCTGATAGAAAAACTATTCCAGCTTTCCAAGATAATTTTTTAATCCAAACTTCTTACTAAGTCATTGATTTAGCCATTGCTCATGCTCGTAATTGTTTTCTAAGCCTATTCCACATGGCTCTTGCATGGTTTTTCTTTGTTTCTTAGATTGACAGTAGAAATGATCGGCAGAGTTGTACTATTGTAAGCTATCGTCGCGGAGGAAGTGACGATGAAGATCATGTTCATATAGAAACGAGTAATGACGCAGTGGTTGATGGGAACTCTCTACACCCTACTGACCTGCTTGCATTTAGCTGGCAAATCGCAAAGGGCATGGTAAGACGCTTTATACCGTATTGAGCTTGCTATCCGTCAAGTATTCTAACGGATGAATTCATACAGGACTGCACAATTGCTGGGCCTAGCGCAGTGCGGTCAAAAGTTGAACGTCTTTTTAAACAAATGCTGAAAGCGTTTTGCTCCTGTCTTAACTAGAGATATCATTTTTGTCTAGGAATATTTATCGATGAAAAAAATTGTTCATAGAGACTTGGCAGCACGAAATATATTGGTTGGAGAAAAAAAGATTGTCAAAGTAGCAGATTTTGGCCTTTCACGTAATGTTTACGACAATTCTATTTACTGCACACAAAGGCGAAGAAAGTTGCCTATCAAGTGGATGGCACCAGAATCGCTGTACGACCAAGTCTTCACAACCAGCAGTGATGTGTAAGTGTTGTTTGAACATGTAAACTCAAGGCTAAAAATTATAGCCAAGCAATGCAGCAAAGCTTGATCACAGTTAGTATAAAAAACTAATGTATCATATTGTTTGTATCTAAGTACACTCGAAGACCATTTTGTATTGCCATTATGATAAATGTATATGGCTGTTATTTAATACAATTTCGCATTTCAGATGGTCGTATGGAGTTGTGTTATGGGAAATCGCAACGTTAGGTAATTTATAGAATCACTAATATACTAATATTAGATTAATATTAACAAATTAAGACGCTTTTGAATGCGACTTTTTCGTCACACGTTTCAAGCATTACATGCATAACTAACCTGAGTACGTTTGTATTTATCAAGGAGCCAACCCGTATCCAACAATTAGTAATCACAGAATTCTGAAAATGCTGAAAAATGGACACAGATTGAGTCGACCAGATTTCTGTACAGATGAAATGTAAGTAGGTGGATCCTTAGCCTCTCCTTTTTTCCGCTCCGCCCCCCCCCCACCCCCTTCCCTTCCGTTTTCCCCCTCCCCCTTCCCCTAGAGCCGCCACGCAGGCTATTGGATCCTTTGTCGCACTGCGAAATAAAGTAATGTAAGACGTGGATTGCGATTGAAGTCTAGAGTAAACGTCAAGCATAAACTCATGATAGTATAAGTTACTTTATTTGTTTATATTTTCACTCCAATCAACATGCCAATTTATAGAGGATTATTATACTGCATCGTTTTGTCAAATAACTTTCACAGCAAAGTTGAACTGTTTCTCTTCAAGACTCACCTACAAAAACAGCACAAATATTATTATCATTCGTTCTTAGCAAGTCAAAAACTGCATGTATACATACATTTAATGTTTTTAAGCTTTGCCTTGGCATCATCGCCGTATTCCTTCCATTTTGCAGCCGTTTTCAGGACATTTTCATTCCAGAACTGTTTGAGCTCCTTCTTGACTTTTCCGACGTATGCTTCACACTTTTTAAACAATTCATCTCGGAGTCTCAGATGACTTCCTCCACTGGCTGTGCAAGTGTTGTCTTTGAACATCTGCGTGCATTGAGCTTTACACTTATTTCCAGAACATTGTATTGTTCCCAGAAATCCACCGCGAAAAGCACCAGCTGGTCGACCACCAGCCCTTCCAGGAACACCATAGTAGTCGTTTTCTTCATATTGCCTGGAAAAGAAAGTGGGATTGACTATAATAATAGTTCAATGATATTTGTAAGAAATTCCTGTTGAATATCTCCACAGTAATATGATGTACTTACTTAGTCCAAGCAAACAAAAAAAACCTGTAATTACAATAGTATTGTATAAATATTAATACCTGATATAAGTCCACTTGTATGCCCACTGTGCATAACGTGCATATTGATCAGCTTTATCAGCCAACTCGTTCAAGTATCTCTTGTAGTAGGCACATGCTTGTTTGTCAGTGTTCAATGGCTGTGCTCGGTACGACGCTTCTAGAGTCTTGAGTGCGAAGAGGTGCAGTGTACAATAGTCGCGGAATGGTATGATGCCAATCTCAAGTCGTTTAACCTGAGCGTGAGTGAGACATTSCATTCTSYTGCCRCAWTYYTTTTYCATCCATTGCCAAGTACCTGCAGAGGCTCTGTAATCAAAATCAGGRTCGTAGAGTAGTTTTCGTCGGCCTTTCCAATCCGTTGTAACTTGTTCAAATTCCGAGTGAAGAGGTTGAAAGTGATAACGACTGCTGCGTAGAGCTTCGACGGCACGACGTTGGCAGTCGTTTGTAGCGGGAATATTCACCTCCTTGACACACCCAGACCATTTATCGAAAAGCTCTCTGTAGTTGTTTCTCATAATGTTTTTCTCGAGCTGTAAATCCTTGGCGTCAACATAGTCTTGCATCTGATCCATCATGACGTTGACCTCTTCGGAAAGAAGCTTTACAGACTCAAACGCTCGATCCAATATTTCTTGTGGCGAGGGAGATTCTTCCAAAAATCCAAGCCCAAACGTAATGATCCCGATAGCTGCTGACATTTGAGGTGCTGCTTTCATAACATCACCAATTGCATCAATCATTCCGAGGGTTGCTGCAGTCACTCCACTGCCCGTATTGAAGAAGTCCAGACCTTGCTGAAGAATAGTGGTTTCAAATTTGGCTGGCTTAACAGCGGAGGTTCGTGAGACTCTGTTGATAGCTCCAGGGGCGTAGCCGCGGTATTGACACTGCTCGGAGAAACGGATCCCTTGTGATGATTCGAGGATAGCCAACAAAGTTAACAAGACAGCTAGGCGAGCTCTTGGTTGTGACGCATTCATTTTCGTCTTTTTGGGGGAATCTTGAACTGCTGATGGAGTCAAGAAGTTCCTACATATGGGTGAAACGGTTTAGTTAAACTTTATCAAATCTATTTGAATTACGCAACAACATTAGAACTGAAAAACCTTGCTAGATTCTTCTCTGCTTAAACGGATTATAGATCAGTCATTCAAGATAACCCTTACCGCCTTTAGGAGACTCTCTTTCTCTTTCTCGCGTTGTAGATCTTCTCCGATCTCTATCCAGGCTTTAGTCAACAGCTCTGAAGATTTGATCAAGAATGATCCTGGTTTTATATATTTGCGCATTGATTAAAATGCAAAAAGAATCATAAGCAATCCAAATCCTCGTGCGGTTACTCCCGGGGGATGTTTCGCAATATCGTTCTTGCTAATCTATGTATGTAAAGGTCGAATGCTGTTATTTCAGTATTGTGCTTTGAATCCCTTAGTTTTCCCCACGCTTTATTGAACAAATAAAAGGCTGACCATTGTTAACTTGGTGTATGCTATTCTTGAGGTCACGCCCGATGTACTACTTTCTCATTATTCCCTTGAGAGATATAAAAAAACCTAGGATCTTACATTCTTCGCTCAAAACTTACTTTCTCCTCTTAAACCTTCTTAAAATCATGTTATGAAGGTGCCCAAGAAACTTACACCGATGCAACACTCTTGTTAGTACACGCTTTTATTCGGTATTCATGGTGTTCATCTATTGTCCCGAACTGGTATGTGGACGACAACAACAATAGATCTTTTTTCTTTTAAGGTTAAAACCTTTTTATGTTTTTTTTTTTTTTTTCAATTTTGCTGAGTGCAACAATGAAGATAATTAACTCGTCAGTCAGGACGTGCGACCAACAAGTACATAAGAGTTTTGCTTTGCTTCAGCATAAGACAGTCTTTATAGTTAGCCAGGCTCCCTACTGGGCACAACCCAAGTGATTAAAAAAATGAATTAATAAATGGATGGATGGATAAATAAACGATGAATGATTAATGAGTGTAGTCTCCTTGGAAGACATCATTGTGATTGGGTTTCCTGTCCTCTTTCTGCATTACAAGCCTTATCAGGTTACATGCGGGGTGGGCGAGTGTGATTGAATCAGAGTTAATGAGGCTGATATCTATGAATAAATCTTTGCATTGACAGCCATACATTTGATATTGATTAATTAATATATCATTAAATCATTAACAACACTAATTATCATTTATAGGTATGACATGATGAACAGCTGCTGGCAGGATAAACCAGAAATGCGTCCTTCATTTTACAAGATTCGCTCCTCTCTTGAGCAAATAATGTTGGAGGAAAGTCCATATTTAGAACTGTGTGATGAGATGCAAGCCCAGTCTTATCAGTTTCCGAGCGTAGACATGGATGAGAGCGACGAGGAGTTTGATATTGGTGATATACATGTTACAGTAGGCGCTGCTACTTCGTCTAACTGTTTAACGACTTCATTATAGTTTCAGTGAAATATGATGAAAATCTTGCGGAATCTTGATGATAAAGTCTGCATGTGCGCACAAGATCACAGGAATGCAAACAGCAACATTAATATAAGGAGATCATAGACTTGCAATAAAAGTCATTCTTTTTCGGAAAGAAACGACATCAAAAGCCATAGTCAAAAACAAATATTCCTATGAATCAAGCTGGTTGTAATTTTACAATTGGTTTCGATAAAAAATATTAGCAAGCGACTTGCACATTTGGTAGATATCAAGGGCAAAACCACGATAAAACTAGACAAAAAGATTAATATGACGTCATTTGTTATGTCCTGATGTGACGTCATAGCATGACTCTTCAAGATTTGCTCCTGTTTTATATTTTTAAACGGAGTACAGTTGATCTCAATTAATGGTTATCACAAAAAAGCTAAACATTGTCATTATTTAATTAGAACATTTATTTCTTTAATTCTGTACTTGTCATGTGCCTCAGCCCAAGTCATGATAACTTAGCAAGAATGACGTGACATAAACTATAAACCCTGCCTCGCACTTGTCATTACGGGTCATTACCACCGAGGTCCAGATGGTTGCGAACTCCCTCTTAAACTGTTTTCATGGAGCGAAGTTATCCCTCTTTCATGATGACTTAGCAAAAATGGCGTGACATAACTATAAACCTTGCCTCGTGCTTGCCATTACCACCGAGGTCGAGATGGTTGCACAGGATACAGACTCCCTCTTGAACTGTTTTCTTGAACCGAACTTATCCCTCCTTCATGATGACTTAGCAAGAATGACGTGAAATACAACAACATATAAACCCTGGCTCGCGCGCTTGCCTTTACTACCGAGGTCGTTCAGGTCAAGATGATTGCAAAGGATACGAAGTCCCTCTTAAACTGTTTTCATGAGCCGAAGTTATCTCTTATCTTTTGGAGACATTGGATGTTCCAGTCTCCACTGTACTACTTGAGAGTTGTCGTTGCCTTGATTTACTCCTTTATTCGATCCCACTTTGTTGCGATTCCCCGCGACCAAGACGTCATCGAGATAGTTGAAAACTGCTCACTTGGAATGCTGGTAAGAAAAAAAACGGATGGATATTTCGAGCTGGATGTACCAAAATGTATGCTGGCTTTCCACAATGGCGGGTCTTTGCATTCGTTTAAACTGCAGTACACGAAGGAAAAGGGTCAAGGGAAAATCGTCTCGTTTATACTGAACGATGAGCCCATTTCTGACCAATGTCAGAGATATTCCGTCGTTTCTTGCTATGTTGTGTTTTCCCTTCACACGAAATGCCACGTGTTTGGAAACATGTTAACGCATCGGATCATCGACGACAAATTGACCATGTTGAGTGCATCGGCGTTGACCACTATCCCACTCCACAACGCATTGGTATTGTCTGACATTAGCCCTCTGACCGGAATCACGACGCCAAAGTACTTATTTACCGAATACTACTTCAAACCAACAAGGGAGAGTTTTGTTGAGGAGTCCATGAACATGACCGTGTTCAAACGACACCCAGACCTTGAGATGATGCACCAATCGCCCTCCCCCTACGTCACGTTCCTGTTCAATGCACGAAGGGCAATGTTCCAAGTTCTGCAGAAGTACAGCGTTCCCAGAGATTTGTGGGAAGCCCTGTTTAACGTGATTGTAGTGCACGCCACGGACCATGATGGTATTTGGGGAAGTATTCAGAATTTCCGCTACAACTCTAATCCGTGTGTAACGCATTGTTCCTTCTTTGACAACTACGGAACGTTTTTTAGGAATTTCATGTTCACAGCTCCAATTTTAAACCCCATCTCGACAAATAAGCTCAAAGATTTAGACACGCCCTTTTACAAAGACCTTTATGTAGTGCTACGCAAAGTGGATCGGAGAATGGCAGACCTGATGACAGCGAGCATCATGTACTGAATGACCCTCTATTAACTGTGCCTAAAGGAAACAACCTCTCAAAGAAACAATGTATATAAAATATAAATGTCATATAAAACAAATAAGACTCATATATATAATGGGATTCAAAGGGGTTAGACACAATTACTTTTTACGATTAAAAGCTTTACACAGTGTTACGTAAGGTTGGTCAGAGAATAGCATGACGGTGACCTAAGTATGCAACCTCTCACATACTATTTACAAATATGTATAAGAAACATTTAAGACATTATATCAATGTCAGGAATGACACTTACATTATATATCGGGCAATTGATTTTTATTTGGTTAGTTTAAACTCCTGATATTGCTAACTTTGTAGAATTGAATATACCTACCGTTTATACAAATAAAATATCAGTGAACAGTAAATTGTTATAAAATTCTAGTATCTATATTTTGAGAAGTAAGTTAAAATCAATATAAAAATACATTTGATATCTTTTGATTTATCACCATAATACAACGGACAGATAAACTCTTGTAGTATCTCTCTCCTAGGGGGGGGCTCTCCTCTCTTAGGAGGGCGTGGCACACCACATGCATGCTGTCACAAAACCGTTCAATAGGTTTCTGATTGACTCCTGATATAAAACTTAGCCGGTTGGAAGATGCGTTTGGTACGTCCTGATGCTGTAGCGAAATTAGCTAGATTTTTTTGCTGGCTTTCTTTAGAAAACTTTAAGTTGCTTCTTGCCCGAGACAATGTACAAATCCTGCGCAAATGTGGATTTGTCTTGGGCTTCCTGTGGATATGCTAAATCAATGAAAAATGGCCGCCAAGTTTTGCAGGATACTATCAAATCGTCGGGTTGTTTCCAAAAATGCACAGCGTAACTCGACCCTTGATTTGAAGCAATACACGAGATTATATTGCAAAGTTATTTCAGCATTTTATTCAAGTATTTGTCCTTCAGACGAAACGATATTCACGAGAGCAAGAAAGCATGCCGAAAGAACAGCCATCGTAGATGACAAAGGCTCCTTTACGTATGGATCCATACTAGCGATTAGTCAAGCATTAGGACAGAAAATTACTGAACGATATGATAGTGAATGCAATGCAGAAAGTCTAAAAGGAAAAAGAGTTGCTTTTCTCTGTCCAAATGATGTCCGTTACGTAGCTGTGCAATGGTCAATTTGGCGCCAAGCAGGGATTGCTGTGCCACTTTGTGAAGCGCATCCTGTCAGCATGCTAGAGTACTTCCTAAGGGACTCTGAATCTACATTACTTGTATCTACAGAACAATTTCGCTCAAAGGTCAAACATCTTGTTGATGTTCTTAATATAGCTCATATTGAAGTACCCAATGTAGAGAATATTTGCACAGAAATGAGTGAATTAAGTCCCACATTGACCCCTATGGAAGCAACAACAAAGTGCTGGGATGAAGTTGGGGCAATGATTTTTTATACCAGTGGTACAACAGGAAGACCAAAAGGTGTGCTTGCAACTCATGGCAATATAAGGTAATGGTGCCCAATCAGCCTGGTACATCCCAGTAGGAAAGGGGGTGGAGCTAATGTCCAAGGTCAGCCAGGGGGGGCTGGGTAAGGCATGAAAGTTTCAAGTTAGCAAAGCACAGACCGTACTGCAAAGTAAAGTTCACATATGCCAAACAACACAAATACAAGCAAATTGAAATGGAAGAATGTCCCATTTCTTGTGCATTGGTCTATGAACCAGGTTTTTGCCACGATCAGCATAGTATTTTATCTGATTCTTTATAGAGCTCAGATATCCGGTATGGTACAAGCCTGGGAATGGACAAAGGATGATTGCATTCTTCATGTTCTACCATTGCATCATGTTCATGGCGTAATCAATGTCTTGTGTTGTTCTCTTTGGGTTGGCGCTACATGTGTTATGTTGCCAGGTTTTGATCCTGAGAAGGTTTGAGTGAGAATTACATGGGAATTCATAGAATAATATAAAATTAAATAATATGTTACTCATATGATTTTTTTTCTTTCGTTCATCTATTCATTCCTTTTTATTCTTTCATTAATACATCCACTTTTCATATTCTCTGTGTTTCGTCTGGTTTGTGTGTGTACATTATATTCACAAAGTTATATTTGTTTTTATCGTTGCTATTTTCTAGGTTTGGGAATATCTCACAGGCTCTAAGCTGTCATTATTCATGGCAGTTCCTACCATATATAGCAAGTTGATTCAGTATTTTCAGGAGAACAATAATTATACCAGAAAACAGAAGGAAGATATTATAAAAAAATGCTCTCAACTAAGGTAATTATTTAATTATATAATTATGGTAATTATATTTTAATATTGTAGTCTCATAAACTCATTTGCAAAAAAACACTGATTTTAATGATTTATGTTTTTTGTTAATCTATTGTTTTATTTCAATAGATGCCATCAATCTTTCCCTTTTGTTTTCATTTGAAGACTTCAAAAGACATAATATCATCAATCATATTACCAACAATGCAATTTTTTGAATGACTTTCATAGATTAATGGTTAGTGGGTCTAGTGCGCTACCTGAGCCTACCATGAAACAATGGGAAATAATCACAGGTATCTAATACAATTACCATTTGTGTACTCTGGATTCAGTTATTTTTTGATTTTCCATCTAGAATAGACCTTTAATGAATTCGCATGGATGAACACGAAACAATGGGGTCAGTTCTAGGCTGGACTTGATATACAAAAGAATCAAGTTCAGTCTCTTCTGTGATTATCTAAGCGAATTCAGAAAAATTTATTTGTCTTCAAAATACACAAACCATATAATAGTCAAAATATCATTATTATACACAAAGATTTCTTACGGATAGATATATTTACTGATCTGACAGGTCACACACTATTAGAAAGATATGGCATGACAGAGATAGGGATGGCACTGTCAAACCCTTTGCATGGACCACGAATACCAGTATGTGCTATTTAACTAACTCTAGTTGGAATGCAAGAATCATGTATCAACTAAACTATTGGCAGTTAGAACAGTTTCAATATCATCAATGATGCATTCTTAATATCTAACATTATTGTGTTGAATTTAACAAAATTAAGTGGGCAATATGTCATAGTGACTGTGGGTTTGTCCTTCCATTCCAGGGCAGTGTTGGCAAACCATTACCCAGCGTTCAAGTACGTATTGTTGCTAAAGGTGAAAACAATGAAGAGTGTGATGACCAGGTAATGAACCTTGTGTCCTGCAGAACAGCATTTTAGGAACTCTGGCTACACAGGTTAATGCCTTAATAACAATCTTCAAGGTTGCTAGTATATTTCACATCTAATACAATGGCACATCTTTTTTAAAAGGTTCTTGTTGAAGGAGATGAGTATGGTTCAAAAGTGTTTTGTCAACAAGACAATGTTCAAGGTGCACTCCAAGTAAAAGGCCCTTCAGTCTTTAAAAGGTTTGGATAAGATATATATTTTTTAATTTCTTCAATGTCATATTGCTAAACATCTAACTAACTCTGTCAATATTAACCAAAGATACTGGGGAAGGCCTGAAGCCACTCAAGAATCATTTACATCGGATGGATGGTTTAGAACTGGTGATGACGCAGGTAAGTCTTCATTGGTATTGAACTTGTTATTTAATGGCAATTGCACATACTATTCTACATTTTGTTCAATGTATTAATTTTTGAAACTGTTCTTTGGGTAGAATACAAAGATGGTGTTTACAAGATAATGGGAAGAGCCTCTGTAGATATTATCAAAAGTGGTGGTTATAAAATCAGGTATATGTCAGAGTAATATTTTGTTATTGTTGTGGATTCATACAGTCAACTACTACCTGGAGTGGATTTGTAGATGGAAACTATAGAATTTGGCACTATTTAGTGTGACTCAATTGGATTTTTTGTTTCAGTGCTCTGGATATTGAGCGTGAACTTCTCACCCATCCTAATATTAGAGATATTGCCGTCTTAGGAGTACCAGATGATGTTTGGGGTCAACGTGTTGCTGCTCTTGTGTCTCTTAATCCTGGAAAGGTATTATTGTCATCATAATCACTGGAATCATCTCATGTCTCGTCATCATGAAATCTCTATATAGCAACGTGATTATATTAATTCTTCTTTTGTTTTGCTTTGAACAGTCTCTGAATTTGGAAGACATTCGTAAGTGGTCTGAAGAAAGATTAAGTAGATATCAAACACCGTCGCTGCTGAAAATTGTTGCAGACATACCAAGGAATACTATGGGCAAAGTAAACAAGAAACAGTTAGTTGAGTTATTTCTTAACAAAGAGTAAGAGGAAATTTAGCTATAATGTTGAAATAACTTTTAATTGGGCTGGAAATCATGAAGCAGGGGGGGGGGAGGAAGGAGGGGGGGAGGGTAGAGAGAAAAATTGTTTCAAGTAAACAATGGCACTGACAAAAAATAAAGTGAAAGCAAAAAAATTCATTATTATTTACATTGGACATGTGTGTATAAACACATAGAAAATTACTGGCTGAAAACTGAGCCTAAAGAGTCATGTTTTTGTTAAATTTGGCTTGTGTATCCAAAAGTTGCATAAACAGAAAATTATTTATAAATTAGAATGAATGAAATTCTTAAGTGTAATGAGACACGGCATAAATTGTTAATATCAAAAACAAAAAGCTCTATCACTATAAGATGGTATGCTAAATATGAATAATAACTAGACGCTCTTGGAGCGTGAAGTCGGACTAGCTGCTTTTGAAAATTGAGAAAGACAGGATATTACATGGATAAAAATATTTCTTATTTTTATTTTCCAAAATAGCCGAACTCACGGTCTAATAAGAGCGTCTAGTTCAAAATATGGAAAATTTATTGAGACTTTTATTTACAGTAAAAAGGATAATATAATCTAAGCTAATTTATAAAATTGAACTTTTATATGTAGTCTAGAAGCTATTTCCAGTGGGCACTGGTTTGTCTTTGTGATGTTCACGTACTAAAAGAGAATATTAAACTCATTTCCCATTGAAATACATTGTAATTGTTCGAAAGAGTTTCCGCAATTAAAACATTCTCCTATAAAAATTACCCTGCGCTTTGAGTATAGCCTTTTACGTCGTATGACAAGGATCGTTGGTCACCCTGTGTCTTAACTGTGGGATGTGTTCGAATGACGTCATGGTGCCTGGCTGCTCTTCCTGTAGGAAGTTCGAACGGCTACGAAGGAGCGTAGCTGATTCGATTCTCTTCGTTCAACATGACTGCGGTAGAAAATAGGAGATCCAAACTTCTTTCGAACGACGAAAACGATAACATCTTTAATGTTTTAGGGAAACGATGCCAGGTTTGTGGTGTTTAAAATTTTGATTAATTTTTTGCCTTCAGCCCTTCGACGATTGTAGAGTGCAGCGAGTGTATTGAAGATAAACTTGCTCATATTTGCCCATTTCTAGACACTAGCAACTGCTGTAGTACAACTCGTACTAGCTTTACCTGAATCTAGAGGGAGGTGGACGAAGAAACTGACCGGTGTAGCTTGTTTTGTAAAAGACAATCCCAAACGGTCATACTTCATTCGCGTCTTCGATCTAACGGTAAGATTTGCACAATAAAATTAATTTACTAGATCTCATGATGTTATAACGTTCGTATATTCAACATTGATTTTCTACAAGATATATTACGTACACAATTTCCTCGTTTCATCGTGATTTGTATAATGATTTTTGAATATAATGGAGCATAATGACATTATTTTGATATATTGACATAAGTAACAGTCATTTATGTACATGTTTCAAGTTAATAAAACTCTTTAAGATTTCTTTTTTTTTCATATGTTATATTATAATTCAGGCATGTACGATGGTCTGGGAACAGGAGCTGTACAATCAGTTCAAGTACAATGCATTGTATCCTTACTTCCACACTTTTATTGCAGATGTAAGTATGTTGTATTGTGTAATCGTTTTCACTGAAAAACACAAATTACTACATGTGATTTTCAGGGTAAATATTGAATCGTTTGGATCAGTACATTGTTAAGACTTACACGTATGAAAACTGCTTTCACAATGATATGACCTTTTCCTAATACAGAAACTTTTATCTGACAGATTTTTCATCCAATGTCAATTCCCCGTCCCCCTGTTTTGTTTTCATTTAAAACAGAATTCCCATTTCATGTGGACATTTCCGTCTTTTGTGGAAAAAAGCCTAAGATATCTCGATGAAAGGAAAATTTCACMTAACCAACTCAGTTGTAATAAATATATAACCATGTATTTTTTAATCCATACTTGATATGCATATTGCACAATTATGTACATGATATGTACTTGAAAACTGTCATTTGAAAATGTCAACAGAATTGTAATGCTGGTCTAAACTTTGCAAGTGAAGAGGAAGCATCAATATTTAAACAACAAATCGAAGATAAACTTAAAGCCAAGCACAAGAGAAGACATGGTATGCATAATGTTTTTATAAATCAGGGCAGCGAATGTCATTCTTTGTGTGTGTGGATGATTTTTAAGCCAAGAAATACTTTGGTTTGTTTCCATGATAACTTAAAAGATAATGTAATGAAATACTCCATGAAGGTAATGTTAAGCACACAACACTCATTTTTATAATAGATCGCAAGAAAGATAATCGACAGAGAGGACCACCACCACCACCCGCCATGGGCGGAAATGTTGACGTTGGAATGAGTAGGACAGGTATAGTTATTATTACAATATTATTGTACTAATAATTACAATTGAAAATTTGTAAGGCACTACTATCAAAACCAGTACATTTAAGAACATATGTTAACTACATAATGTTGTTCTTTATGTTGTTGCACATGTGTTGTACTTTAGTAATCATCACAAGCAAATTCAAGCATGTGAAAAAATGGAAAACTTTGATATCTTAAGGCCGATTTAGACGATACAACTTTTGCCTACAACCATCGCATGCAACTTGCTCGAGCTTGCTCGCGTCATCCCTACGATACGAGTTGTGTCGTGTAAATCTACTCTACAACTCACACAAGTCAGTTGTGTGCGACAAGAAAAAAGTTTTAGAGCTTTAAAACTTGCTTTAAAATCCTACGACAATTGTAGAGAAAAATGAGCAAATTTCGCTACCCACACTGTGAGGGAGGTTAGTATTGCATATTCAAAATGGCAGTGAAGAAAAGACTCCAAAGAAAGAGTGTTAAAACTTCATGGACGAGGAAATAGAGCATTTAATTAGTCTATAGAGCAAAGAGGAGATGCCTTTCAATTGAAGGCACAACGCTAGAAGTGTTGCAATTCAGCGATTTTTTTGTGAAAGTTTGTACCATGAGTCATTTAGGCAAGTGGTAGGCAAAACATCGTAGGCGTGTAATTCTGACTTACGTCGTGTCGCAAGGATGACGTGAGCAGGTTGCATGGGATGGTTGCAGGCAAAAGTTGTGCCATCTAAATCGGCCTTTATGCTTCTCTTGGGCTTACTTTTATTGCTGCCTTTTATATGGTTTACACCTCAATATAGTCTCACCCATAATTACACTTCTTTCTGTGCTTGCTCTTGTGAAACTCAGGCTTTAGTTAATACAAAATAAACTTTAAAAAATGATGTTATTGTGTTTTGTGTTTAGATGGTGGTGTTAGTCATTCTCCATCACAAACAAGTTTGTCATCTGTTGGTAGCAATGTTTCTGTATCAAGAAGGACAAGTGCTGTAAAAGATTCAAAGGACAAGGGCAAAAACAAAAAGGGGAGGGTCAAGCTGTCCAAAGAAGACATTGGAACTCCTGAAAATTTCCAGTAAGTGTGTATTTAAAAAAATGTATTTCAAGTTCATTTCTGCTGCAGCACAAATTTAAAGTACATAAATTTGAGTAAAATGTATATATTTTTCTTGATGGTAAGAAGACATGCTACTGGTTAAAACTTCACGCCAGTACATAATCACTTTGATAACACTATACCCTAATCTTATGCATGGATATAATGGTTGTAATTCACAGGCACATAGGGCATATTGGATGGGATCCTCAGGGTGGATTTGATGTAAGTATTGTAGGTAGGGTTTCACATAGATGTAATAACAACTTGACTAAAATGATAATTATTCTAATTGAAACCATAAGCACCACTTTCTTGAATCAATAATCCTGATGAACAAAATACAGGCTTGGATAATAGACTAGGGAATGGGTGAAGTTTGTAATCCCTATCTTCTTTTTTTTGTAGTCACTAATACAAGTAGGAAAGATTTATCGAATTTTAATGTATTAATATTATTTGATAGGTTAATGTGGACATGGATGAAAACTGGAAAAAACTTTTCAGTATCATTGGTGTTACAGAAGGCCAAATGAAAGAAAAGGGAACAAGAGAATTCATCTATGATTTTGTGCAAAAGAGAGGAGGAATTGAAGCAGTGACAAAAGAAATTGAACAAGAATCAAAACCAGGTACAGCAATGTATTTATTTTACATAACATTAAGAAAAGTACAGTGCAATTTTAAGCTTTTAACACATGTTTGCCAGCATTCCAAGTTTGCCAGTGATAGTACTTACTAAATAATGCCTTCTTTACAACAGGACCTCCGCCGCCACCTCCTCCCTCCAGAGGACCACCACGTCCTCCTGATAGAGGTGCTCCTCCTCCACCACCACCTTCTCGTGGGTTTGCCCCACCTCCACCCCCACCGGCAAGGATGGGTATGGGCCCACCACCTCCACCACCCCCATCAAGGGGTTCCAGACCACCTCCACCTCCACCTATGGGGGGCCCTCCAATGGGTGGTGCCCCACCTCCTCCCCAACCAGGTAACTATTAGTCCAGTCCCACACCATGGTGCCCCACCTCCTCCCCCTCCACCACCAGCTATAGGAGCACCCCCTCCACCACCACCAATTGGAGGAGGTGGTTCCATGGCTCGCCCTCCGCCACCTCCTAGTGCTGGTAGAGGTGACTTGCTGTCACAGATTCAGCAGGGAAAAGCATTAAAGTCTGTTGGTGACGACGACAAGAGGAGATCAGCTGGTGGAGACCGTAGTGATCTACTGAGTGCAATCCAAAGAGGAACCAACCTTAGGAAGGTAAGATGAACACTAGTTTGACATGAGTTTAAGAATTATTATTGTTGTATAAGAAATTTTTCTTTGTTTCAGGTAACACAAGAGGATGGACCCAAGCCAGCACCTGCAGCTGCTGGGGGTATTCTTGGGGCCCTTCAGCTTGCCTTGTCAAAGAGAGACAATGCAATACATTCATCAGGTATTTTTATTGGAATAGGAATTTTCTTTCAAGTAGAAACTGATGGTACCGTAGTGTGACTGTGTTGCAATGATCGTAAAAAAGGTTCAATATGGCTGCCATAACTGCAATACAGGGTCTGGTTGTACAAAGTTATGCTTTCCTTAGATCTTGGGATTTTATCCGCTGGATAAGATGGAGGCTAAGTATTTATCTGGTGGATAGTGCTATTCGACCTTCGTAGAAATGGACCCATATTGAGAAATACGTAGTAAAGCTAGTTTTCCACTTATGAGTAAAACACTTTTTTGATTAAGTAATCATGACTTGTTTCACGTACTGTTTATTTCGTGTGTGTTTTTTTAGATGATGATTCTGCGTCAGAAACTGAATACGACAGTGATGAAGATGAATGGAATGACTAAGAATCTCTAAAATTATTTTCATAATACAATTCTCATTTGCTATCAATTTAACGACTATCGCATCTTCATCTTTCAATAAATGAGACAACTCATTTCTAATGTCCAGTCATTGATTTGTAAATGTTTGGATTTCATGTGATAAAGCCAACATTTTATATTATAAAGCTTTTTATAAACTGATTTTTTTTGTGTACTTATCTTGGCAATGCAGGACTAAGCCAAACATTCAAGACACATCTCTATAAATGATTTGCTTTTGTGATAAAGAGCTATTTAATCTTGGTTGATATTCAAGCAAATATAATATAACGATTTCACAAATTGTTGTCGTAGTGTTGCATATTCTTCCTAGAATCAAAACCAGTTGTGGACTCTAAATCTTGAAATGCAAGATCTTGAGTTTTCTTTATCTTAGTCAAATGAATGATAATTCAGTTGAAGACCGAATCATGTCATCAGTTAATCACAGTACAATGAATATCTTAATGGTCATCGGACCATGATATTTATGACGGTCACCCTATGTTCGGCTGTGTTTCCGCAAATAAAGTATGTGGTAAAACGTTTCTAAACTCTACGGTGAAAGCAACTAAATTATATCCAAGATGGGCGAAAAGAACAAGGAAAATAAGAGGTCCATTCTGCTCACTAACGATGAGAATGAAATCATTGTCAGCATGCTTGGTCATAAATGTCAGGTATTATATTAAATGTGAATCTTTTTTGAAATGTTTTCGTCCCATTTAACATTTAGTAACGTTATTTTTACCTCAGACTTTAGCAACTGCAGTTGTTCAACTGATGGCTGCATTTCCTGAATCCAGGGATCGATGGACGAAGAAAACGACTGGTGTAGCCTGTTTTGTAAAAGACAACCCCAAACGATCGTACTTCATTCGCGTCTACGATGTCATGGTAAGCCTCCCTTAACTGCGGTCACTTAATAAATGTAACGTTGTACTTTTACTAGTTTTATCCCCGTAGTTTTCTCTCCTTTTTCAGTTAATCACGGAACTTAATGTCTGCTTAATATGATAGCAATTCAGTATTATTTCTATTACAAATTTAAGTTTTACAATGCATAATAATTGAAACTCTTTTGGCTGGGAACTAAGCTGTGGTGCTAGTAGCGAATAAAATCATTGACTATTGAAATGACTAAGAATTTTTATTTATGTTGTATAATGAAATTTGTCGATCTACGTGTTGCATTGAGCTGTTCTCTTGTTCTGGGCGATGATTTTATTTGACTCTGAAATTGAAGCGCGCAGTTTCATTTTATCCTATCTAATTGTACTTCCAAATAAGATATACACGGAAGTTAATCCCTGACTAGTAGTTACAATGCTATACTATCTTTACAATAATAATCAATGTGCTTGTTTTGAATACTCCGACTGTATAAATTACTTGTTCATCGAAGCATCCTTCGTCCATTCTTCTTGACTGATAATCCGTGTTGTCGTTTCTTTAAGTGTTTTTGAAACTTTTAGCATGGTTAATACAAACTATGTTAATAAATTCAATAACTTTTGCTTTTACAAAACTAGCGACATCATGATTTTCAAGTATCACGCGATTCACTATTTTTCAGTATCAGTCGAATTAAAAATCTTATTTTTTCTTAATTTGACTATTAGGTGGGTTGCATGATATGGGAACAAGAGCTTTATACCACTTTCAAGTACAATGTGGTCCGTCCGTTCTTCCACACTTTTGCTGCAGACGTAAGTGCAAATTTTAAAAGCGTTGTATTTCCAACTCCAAGAATTCCCCCCCTCCTCTTCCCCTTCCAACCCCCTCCCCCCCCAAAAAAAACAGCAACAAAGAAAGAAAGAAGGAAAATGTCCATACTCCCAAGAAGAAGAACGTCCTGTTATGTCCTCCAGAATTATGGAGTGCATAGTGTAATGTTGTTTATAATACCCCTTACCCCTTGTTAAGCATTGCCAATTTTTTTTCAAAACATTTTATTTGAATATTTTGTGGTAGAATTGAAAGAGGAGAAAAAGAAGGGACGTGAGAGGGAACGAGAGGAGAGAGAGAGAGGGCTCACGTGAGAGGAGAGGAGAAGAGCCGAAAGGAGAGTAAATGAGACTGGAGGACAAGATAGGACGTGAGACGAGACGAAGAGTGAGATGAAGAGACGTGAGGAGGGAGAAAAGAGAAGACCAGACGAGAGGAAACGTACAACTTGCCTTTTTTTGTTATTTCTCTAGAAATACAATGTCGGCCTGAATTTTGCAAGTGAAGAAGAAGCGACGACGTTCAAACAACCAATATTATCATTGCTACGAAGGAACGAAGCCAAGAAAAGAAAGAGAGAAGAAGGTATATCGAATGCATTTCCGGGAAAATATAAAATCGATCCATTAAAACAGTGAGTTTATTGGGTTGAAGAAGTAACAGAGGTCCAATTCCTTCCTAGAACGCAAGAATCAAAAAAACAAACAAATACAGACTCCTGGTCCTCAAAAGTTTGACAGTGGTGACAATGTTGATGGCAAAAGACCACAAGGTAATCATTGTTGTGGAAATCCTTGGAGGATGTTCTTAGACCTTGTTCAGGGTTGACGAATGGTAAAAATCGAGAATAACCGAGTACCATAGTTGGCTATATAGAGCCAGAGACGGTTAGATATACCCGTAGCAGAAAAAACTTTAGATTCAAATGCAACGAGACCTTGAGAGAATAATCAGAGAATGAAGAGATTCCTTGGACTTCCTACTCAAGCCGGAGGAGACCATTCTCTGCATTTAACCACCTTTCATTTCGTCGTCTTTCTTTCCGTTTGGTGCTCATTTTTTTTATTCATTTCCATTCTAGCTGTTGTGAGGAAGAAAAAACGGAAAATAACCAAGGAAGATATTGGTGAACCAGCTGATTTTAAGTACATAGTTTTGAGCTTCATTTTACAGAAAAATCGTACAGAAATTCTAATTATGAACGTACTGTTTTGTTCACAGACACATTGAGCACATAGGATGGAACCCAGAAGCTGGATTCAGTGTGAGTACTGGATGAGATCTATTGTACCACGTGCTGCTAGAGAAATTCAATATCTTCGATTCTTTTTTCAGCTAAATGTTGACATGCAGGATGAAAAGTGGAAGACACTTCTTAATGAAATAGGCGTGACTAAACAACAACTTAGTCAAAAGTCCACAAGGGAATTTATCTATGATTTTGTACAAAAAAAAGGAGGCATTGATGAAGTTACCAAAAAAATTCGACAAGAAATGCGACCTCAAGGTATTGATTCAAATATGACTTTAGTATTTATTTGGTATTTAAGACTTTTATAAACTTTTTATTTTATTTGAAAGGTCCTCCTCCGCCTCCTCCTTCTAGAGGATCATCGCAACCTCCAGACAGAAGTGCTCCTCCTCCTCCACCACCTCGTGGGTCTGTCCCGCCCCCACCTCCACCTGCAAGGGCGGGCACACTACCTCCACCACTTCCTTCAAGGGGTGCCGGGCCACCACCGATACCACGAGGGACCCTTCCAATGGGTGGTGCTCTACCTCCTCCTCCTCCACCACCACCACGAGCAATGGGAGCGCCACCACCACCACCACCACCTCCTGGTTTTCCACCTCCTGGTTTTGGAGGTAGTCCTGGTGCTCCTCCTCCACCACCCCCTATAGCTAGTGGTGGCAGAGGTGACCTGTTGATGCAGATTCAGCAAGGAAAAGCATTGAAGTCTCTAGGTGAAGAAACAAGGAGGAAATCAAATGCTGGAGATCGTAGTGATCTCCTAAGTGAAATCCATAAAGGAACTACCCTCAGAAAGGTTCGTTGTATTTGTTTTTGTTTGTTCAATTCTCGTGACTGATTTTCAAGACATTGAAAAGGAATCATATCTCTGAATAGACTCCTTTGCAGACGTTATTAGTATCGGTCATACGTTCCCTCTCCACAGATACTAATAACGTCTGCAAAGGAGGCTATTGAGAAATGTTTCAGAGTTTTGTCTATTTTTACTATTCTCTTCAAGTCGCCAATACTTTGGTAAAACATAACATTTTCTATTCAAGCATCATGGTTATTTCCATAGGTGTCACAAGTAGATGGACCCAAACCAGAGGCTGAATCTGGCGGCATTCTAGGAGCTCTCCAGTTAGCCTTATCAAAGAGAGACAATGCTATACATTCATCAGGTATTTCCAGTTCTTATGAGGACTTAAATTCATAGTAATCTAATGTTGTTATTTAGCGTCATTAATAACTGTTTATTGTAGATGATGATTCTGATTCTGAGACGGAGTATGACAGTGATGATGATGAATGGAATGACTAATCAACTGGAACAGTAAAACTTAGATATTCTCAAGCCTCTGTTCGAACTTTTAAGGCAAACAATTTAGTGTAAAATTTCGGGTTACTCATAGTAAAGAACTATTTAAAATAATAATAATAATGATGAGCTATGAATCTTAGAGAATTCAAAGAATTCAAAGCTGTTATTGACACATGACATAATTACGTCACAACAAAACATTCAAATTCTAAGGTTTATTGTCGCAAGCGAGGGACAGAATCAATGCATATCAAAGAAAATGGCGGGCAATCACTAATACATGATCGAAATTTGATACTTTGAAGACTTTTAAATGTAAATAGAGCCAAATTTCCACTGTTTCAGAGCATCTATATTTCATATTTTTACTGTAAGGATACTGTGACTATAGGCCAATAGTTCGTGAGGCATAACAGGATTCAAAATGAAAATGAGCTTAAAACGAATTACTATTAAAAAGGGCAAGAATTGAGTTCGACGTATGAACCGAAGTAATGATTAATCATTAATACCGATATGCTTTTAAACACTTCTATTACCAGAAAATAATGAGATAAAGTGAGCCAAATGGTTATTAATACCATAATGAAAATCCATTATGTTGAATACTTAACACGGAATAGTATAGCAGCTCTTTAATTTTCTTTCGCGGTTTGTATGGTTTTACTCAACAGTCGGCCATTAGAATTTTCTCTCCGGCGATGTTTTACACTCTTCTGTACTTTTATTATTATATCGAAAATCATGCACAAGGGAAAACAGCAGAGGTAGACTTAGAGTGCCTTTATAATAGTATAACAAAAAAAAGTATAAATAATGTTTCATTCAACGAAAAGCGCGAAACTGAATAATGAATAAAGAGTCCCAAGGGCTTAAATGTATTTCACGGGTTTTTGAAAAACACTATACCAATTTCACGCATATCAAAGAAGAATTTAGTACGATTCAGCGAAAACAACTTTTGCTCCCTTAGTGTTTTTATTTCACGCTTATGATTTATAGGTTCTTAACCCGTGAGGTAAGCGTACAACGTAAACAAAGTCCTTTTGGGCGTAGTCTATCGTTGTGCCAATAAAGAAAACAACGATTTCAGCGATGCTATGACTTCAAATTCAAGGTTTTTTTGGGCTTGGAAACAATAATGACAAGGCGATATTACTACAAGATCTAATACAACTAAAATACGAATTGAATTTTTGATTTGTACAATACTGTCAGTCACAGTTTTTTACATATATGATAATTACACTAATGTCACTTATTTATTCTATACTTTGACTGCTGTGAATCTATATTAATCAAAAGAATGTTTACGCGTTGACCTGCCAATTGTATATAGTTATTGCCTTTTATGGTAATGCAGTATATGGTTTTTATTGATTTTTATACGTCATTTAACGCGTCGATTAGTTTGTAAAACTTTGACCGTAACAAAATTATTCTAGAGTTTGATTCTCAGTTATATTTTTAGCCTAGATGAGTGGACTATAGATCAAAAGCTTTGCAAAAATTGATCTTCTCATCTTTTGTTATTCCAAGGGGTTGTAAAAATTCACTAATATTCCTTGAATTTGAGCTTTTGAGTTGCACTCAAAATTCTAAAAATTCGCTAGAACTTCGGAGAATAACCTTAAGATCTAGTAAATGAAAACATTGGCTTAATATTTTCATAATTTCAAAGGTGTTCTACACTATTAACTTCTTTTGTTCAGGTCTAGGTGTATAGTTAGTCTTGTAACGTTACTTATGTCACGATTTTTTCCGAAAATCACGCAATCAGTGAAAGAAATTTATCATCACAATTTCGATCTATTAGATGTCAGATTACAGTTTATGAGCAAATTGCTAGGAGGACAAGCATGCATTTTTCGTCAATGGTTGGTCCATTTGGCATTCATAATTCTTAAAAGGTTTCGTTGCCCATAACAACTGCTGGTGGTCGATGGTCATGAATTTTAATGCATTTTTCACATTATAATATTAAACGAGGCAGAATCTATAAAACGCGTTCACTTGTGTCGTGTCGACGAGTAATTTCACTTGGCAAAGGGTGTGACAAGCGAAGAACTTAATTTAACTTGGTTTAAAGAAACAATGAGCGGACAACCGAGGTGCAAACTGTTTATTAAGGTATCAAAAACAACCCATTCAATTGTACAATTTCAACTTGTTGTTTTTAATATATGAGGTGGCTGTTATCGTGAAACTCTAACTGTCGTTAGAAATAGGATCTCATCAATAAATTTGCTTTATTTTCCAGAAAAAAGGCGACTATTTATGCCAACGTGTCTGCATGATTGTGGCTCTGAAAAAGTTAGATCCAGTTATATGCCAAATTATCGCTGAAGAAGACAAGGTCAAAATTGCGAAAGAAAATGGTGCAACGGTAACCATGTGGCCAACTCTACTTGATACCCACACATACGAGGATGGAGAAGAGATCGAGCAACATCTTGAAGCGCACTTTCCAGAGCATAGCTTGAAAAGCAACGATGAGGCGGTTAAGGAACTAACAGAAAACAACAGCCCCGTGTCAGACTTCAATAAATGGCTTCGAGCTGAGAGTCCCGGAGACGCTGTTCATGCTGAAAAGCTCGCAAAATTTCTTAATAAAGCTGACCAGATTTTGGAACAAAATGCCAAAAAGGGTGATTTCTTAGATGGAAATTCACTTACGCTTCCAGATTGCATCTTGTTGCCAAAGCTACACCATATGAGAGAAGTTGGTAAGATTATCACTGTCGACCAGGGCGACATACTTAAAGGTTTCACTAATGTGGAGAGATATATGAAAAAGGCCGAAAATGGAACAGCGTTTCAAACCACCAAGAGAGAAATAGACGACAGAAAATGGATTGGATTCAAATCCAAGACCAAGAAAAGCTCAGACATTTACAATGCTTTGAAGTCGAGAAAATGACTGAAATGACTTGGGATTGGTTGGTGTTGAAGCCAAAAACATTTTCAGTAAAACTTAACACTTATTCAAGGAAAGGAACTTAAAAGTTTAAAGCTAAACTCCTCAAAACTCCAGTTTCCGGTCATATCATGGTTTTTCATTGGATAATACTTAGTCAATAGTCGTCTTTAGTAAAGAATGTATACGATGGATAAAGGTAAAAGAATTATCGCTTGAATAACCCTATAGATAGCTCTAGAAGATGCCATTATTTCAAGGTTAAAGTAAATAACTACATTCGAATATATTCGTTTGTATTTGTTTTGTTATTATACATAAGAATGATTGTAACACGAATGTTTGGAGATATAAACCATACCCTAGAATAGTAGAATTTACTATAGGAATAAAACTGTCAAGTTATTTTCACAAAAATATATCGTTGTTTATCAAATTAAAATAACTAAAAAGAAATGCTTAGTTTTAGAATATCACGGCAGAATAAAATTGTTGATCTTCAAACTCATTCAAAATTCATAAATTTAATTCATCTATCGTCAGTCTGTTATGGAAATTTGCAATCGGACTTCAACACTTGATTTGTAACCCAGTTTCTTGATTTAAAACTTTTCCGTGTATCAAGATCATTGCTTTCCAGGTCATCGCTTTGAAGTCGTCTCTTCATAGAATTTTTTACTAGACAATTATGATGATTTTTCTGTCAATGGGGTATTTTTGTCTGCAAAATGGCTGTCAGAAATATGACAGAATGCTCTTAGATATGGCATTGCACCCATTCACATTAGCATTTTGATAAAACCTAGGGTGTTTTTACAATTCTAAATATTATCTTAAGCTTTTGTTAAATTCTTAAAACAAGAAAACACTGTATGTAATTAATGAATTTTCTATTAAAATGAAAACATCTTTATGAATGAATGCATGATCCATGATTTTGTTGTTTCAATTTAGCTGAATATTTGAAATGTCTGTATTGTGAGTTGAGCTTTTTTCATGCTTGCGTGAATGCGTTGTTATTCACCCTGATATGGCAATGATCTCTTCATACTTTATGTATACAAACATCGCAAATACAATGAGTTTGTTTTATGAGGAGTTTGTTTTTATTTTGCTTTAATCAGTTTTGTAATATTTGCTCGGTCCTATGTGGACAAAACTTGTAATGAAATTGTTGTCTTGTTTGTTTTTCTGTTAGTGCTATTTTAAATTGGTAATTAGAAAAACAGCATGCTACTAGAAAAATACACATAGTGAAAATGCATGGCGTATTTCACAAGCGACGAAGACGTAAAAAGACTGAGTCGTTTGCTCCAACTTTAATGATACTTGAACACTGCACCAGGCACGCCAACCAAGAAGTCAGCGAGTTGCTGGAATATTTTTCTCGCAAGAAAATGCGCGGTAAAAGCATTTTTGTCGTGGGATAGTTCAACAAAACAATTCCTTCCTTTACTACTTCATTAATGTAAAGAAATTTGACGCCAGTCGATATTTATATATTGCTCTTACATGTAAAATGGCGTCATTAAGGTGTGGAATGATGGGAAATCCATTTGTTATTGTAGAATTATATTTATTGTACATGCGATTCTTAGTTTTTGTGAAAAAGTAAAGGTCTTAATCATGTTACTAAATCAGTTTACTGTCTACCATCGGTACGATTGCTTTTTTCTTCGACACATCTATCCATTATTTGCTGCTTTGCGCGAGCAATTTACATGGCGACATCTTTTTTTGTCCTTGGTGCAAGACTTGTTTAATGGCAATCGCTGTGCGGTCCTGGCCCCTTGAGAGTCCTTTGGGATAACGAGGATGCGTTTGGTAACGCCGAACGTCAGGAATTGGAGTAAGAAAAAAAACGATTGAATGTTATCGAATAAGTGAACTTGATGTTAGGGATTTTATATCCCTAATATCAATTTCGCTAACTTGATGATATTCTACATTCTTAATACCGGTGTACGTCCAATTTTTTTCGTTCATGATTGAGTATCTTGAGCCACAGCCCACATTTTGGACAGGAACTGAAGACTAAACGCTTAAAAAACTATTCATTTAAGTTACTATGGAAACTGTACACTTGTGAACATGAAAACGTGCAGCTTTTGAGTTCAGAGATGCTTAACCTTAATGATTCGACGCAAGGTTAACCATGTCTTTTGTGTGAGTAGCAAAACGGTGGGCAGTGACCGGATCTGGGCGAGTTGAAGCACTCAAGTGGACTTGTACATACTGAACATTTTAAGTGATTTCGGCTTCTCCCACTAGCACAGCACTTAGTTAGACGTCACTAAAGAATGAATAAAACATTGTGCACTTATTGAATAAGTTGAATTCACCACACCGTCAAATATAAACAGGTTTCTCTGGGGTATGATTTAAAGTGGTAACGACTGGAAGTCTAAGTTGATGAAAAGTTAACGATGCATTATACGTACCCACATGATCTAAATATAGACCTAACAACTCATTACAATAACCTCTAAGAGTTATAATTCAAAATGATGACGTAAATATCCTGGGAAAAAGGCTCCCGCAGGTTTTAGAGTCGATGAGCTTTCCTTTGCTTCCGAAGTCCGGGAGCCACGTGAAGCCAAATCAAGTTCAAGTTAGCGGAAATAATCTTCTTAAAAACTATGAGAAAAATAAAGGGCTTACTCACATGTGCAATAAAACGATTTGACGTTCTGGCCTTTCAGGAGATTATTGGACAAAAAGGGTTTGATTTTTGGTTGAAATGATCTAATAGTAAGGCCTTCTTATGACCTGCATTCGATGACATTATTCAAATTCTAAATAGTGAATTTATACTAATCCAAAAAAGGTCTGAACTTTTTCTATTTTGTTGTACACTGGTCAAGAAGTATTGCCTAAGGGTATCCTATGACAGTACATTATATATTGGTTTCCTGTGAAAACCATTGTGGGTTCACCGATCACCCCATTGAAAAAATACACAAAATACATCGATACATAATATTGGATCAAATTCAACTCACTCACTTCCTATTGGATTCCAACCTCCCCTTTTGTACACGGTTGGTTGACGGCGATCGCTTCCTACGATACTCTTGCGAAATATATTCCAATAAACTCTCTCTTGTTAAGTTTGTTTGTATTTAAGGAAACATGCTGTCAAAGCCGGTGATGTCATCATTCATGGTTTCTTCCGTCTTGCCCTCCCCAGGATACCTCTTCCTATGTTTCATTGTCATTGCTAAGGAATTCTTTACGTAGCGCTTTGCATTTGTTTGATGTTGCCTTTCAAATAAGTTAAAAATAGATGATATAACGGGTTACAATGACCGAAGAGACGCACCAAGCTATATGGGTTAGGCTTGTAATTTTACTTCATAGATGGAGTGTTTTTTTGCTCTTTATCCATCTTTCTGCATGCTCGCAAGAGCCTCGGGCAATACACCTCTCAAATGACCGATGGGAAATAGTAGATGAAAAGTGTTTGTAAGATTGATAGTGCGCTCCTAGGGTATCCTATCTGTTTTCCTTGAGTTACTCTTTACCATGCCTATGTTTCTTCTCGCTAAAAGTTCTGATCTGACTAGCAGTCCTCTTTTATAACTGTTTGCAAACACGCTAAGAATTCTGGAAGCTTCGGACTCTTGAGGGCACTTGACTTTGGATTCAAAAAACTATCAGATTCGCTAAAAGTCGATAAGACTTTTGGATCAAAAAGTTTGCACAGCTTGTCAAAGTTTCGCAAACACTGCAAATATTTACTCAATAATTACATACATAGTTAGTACTAGCTATGTTACACATGGATCCTTGAAATCTGCCCAAAACTTAGGCGTACACCTTATGCTTGAAGTACGAGATCTATCATAGTCTAGTAAGACCCTAGTAAATCTTGGTCAATACAGAGCTGTCTCGCCAACATTGACTCGACTGAGATAACACATTTGCAGACGATGATGATTGACTTCAAAGTAGCTTAGGTAAAGGGCCTGTTAATTGTACTCAGTACAATTTGAGGCTCAAAAGGCCTGGGGGGTTAAAAACTTGAACAAATAGTCCTATTATTTTAGGAATATTTGGAAATTGTAATTTGGAAACTGCAAGATTTGTAGATCTTTACCAATCACGCTGCCGTTTTCCTTATAACGACAAACCGTTGTCATATATCGGATGTATGACCTCAAAACTCTTTTGCAAGTGCAAATTTGAACAACTGAATGCTGTCTGTTTTTTTTAGCCTGAGATTAGAAACTCTGTCGTTTATATCGGCCAAGGTTTACCATTCTACTGAGATTCTTAGTAATTGACACCTTTTCGCTAATCTCTGTTTTCATAAAATCACTTCCAGTGACGTCAAAATCGCGCAAAGAAGACGAGGTAGTGCTAACTAGCAGTCGTAAATAAAAAAAAATGATGTTTAATTGAAGGAACCACATTGAATAGGGATGATCTTTGAACAGTTTTTTGAATACATCCCAGCATACAGTGCAAGTGGATTGCAATCTATCTTATGTATATTCTCGTTGACCTTCACAAGTCTCAATATGAGAGGAAATTATCATAGTTTACTCATCAATATTCTTGTGTAGGAGTTGACAATAAAAATGTTGTTACAAGGCCCGTTGGACGGCAGGGGTCGTCAAATGATTCTCAATTTGTCCGGATGGAGTAAGTGTACTAAGGCCTTCCTGATCACATAGTTATCGCTCGAGGGCTTGTTATTCGATTATTACCCCAAATTGCCCGCGATTACCGGATTATTGACTATTCTTTCCCGGTCACAAACAAAATATCCATTGAATTGAATACCATGCATAGAAATGGAATCAGCCGATTAGAACGAGCTGGGAGGAGTTTATTAATCTATTGACTACATATAAAGCAAGCACCTCTTGTGGTGTACTTTAGHAGTCAGTTGCCTCCAATATATCGAAGAGCTTTCCCGTGCTGAAGAAAATTTGGTGAACATGATAACTTGGTTGTTAGTCGTGGCTGCAGCCTTTGTTGTGAATCAAGTCAATGGTAGGTTTAATTATTGGTAAATTTGTTATTTGATGCAGCACATTTATCAAGATGTTTTAGACCAATCGTTTTTTTTTGTTATTTTTTTTGCAATATTGCTCGATTTTCTTGTCTCCAAAAAAGACTTCATCAACAATATGATTAACTTTAAATCGGTTTCGTTCGTTTCTACCAGATTCAGGGGCTACACAAACACTTGCGTCAGAGAATCTAATTTACGAATAACAATTTTGATCACTGATGTTACTTGCTTTCTTTCCAAACTTTCAATTTTTGGATTGAAATGTGCAAATACAATGCCAACCATCTTTAGCCTCTTTGCTCAAATTTCTATAAAACGAATGCATACTGAATGCATCAAAACTGTCCATTTTATTTAGTATGGAAACTGTACTTGTGAGCATGAAAAAGCGTAGATTTTGCGTTGTTTAATCTTAATGATTTGAGTTTAACCAATTCGCAAGGTTAAACGCGTCTTTGGTGTGGCTGGGAAGTCGGTGGCATTAGACGGATCTGGACAAGTTGCAGGGCTAAAGTGTCCTAATTATATATAAAATTTTTAATGTGATTTTGGCTTACCTCAATTAGTATAACACCTTAGTTGGACAAAAGAATAAATACACCATAATACAATAAGTTCAATGTTTGTTATCCTCAAACGTAAGTTCTTCCTGATGTGTACGATTAAAAGTCTCAGTTACAGTTAATTACCAAGAACGAGAGATTTAAGCCATATACATCCAGAAGGTCTTAAACCCTAGTAGTCCTAGTAGAGTATATGGCTTATTAACGAAGTTTTAGGTAATTAACTATTTTGATTATGTCATTGAAAAGGTTTTCATATAAAAACAATTCAAAATGACATTGGAATTCCGATCAGTGTTCCTTAATTCCCAGAACGAAGATTTAAACAATT